GGCCTGGGGAAGACCTGCACATCAGAGGTGAGGTTTCCACAGCGCAGCACCGCATGGAAAGGAGAGTAAGCCTGGTCGATCAGCTTACTGACAACACAAAAGTGCAGTGAGAATGTTAAATGTGTTCCATAAACAATGTGCACTTAAAGTATTTAAATAAACGAACATAAATGTAAAGATATTTGTATCATCACTCACCCGAACATTGACTGGACACTTTTAAGACAGAGGGGTCCCTCCATAGTGTATATCTGTCCATCTCCACCGTTCAGGTTAATCAGTTGCTCTAAATTATCCATACCATCTGTAGCCTGGAGCTTAAGGAGACAAGAAAAAAAACAAGACTGAAGCATATATTTTCTTCAATCAACTGCTCCATATTTTTTTATAAACAAAACAATTATAACCATATCATACACCATTTTTATTTTAAATGAATCTATTTGTTAAAACAAATTTATTTTAATGACACCCACTAAAATCTCATTCAGTATAACAAGTCTTTTTGACAAGAATCATTTTATGACAAAGAAAGACTGCATTTAAGGATTGCAGCCCCAAAATATTTATTTAATGGCTTTTTAAATCCTTATAATTTATCACTATACTAGAAATAACTAGATTTTCCCCATTTGTCAGTAACATGTTTTAAATAACATATTGTTTTCGTAATTCATAATTGAATTAGTACAGGACAGTATAAGTATGTTATTTAATTTTCATATAATATCTGTTACATTGAATGACAAGGGAACATTATTTCATCTGTATTTTTTGAGATTGCATTTTCACAAATATTATTATAAAACATTAAAGCAAAACTTACAATATAACATAATATAAAATAATATAATAATATAATATATTGTAATATAATACTATAATTAAAATAAAATAATATAATAAATTGTAATATAATATATTGTAATATAATGCTATAAATAATATAATATAATATAAAAAATATATTGTAATATAAAACTATAATTAAAATAAAATAATATAAAAAATATATTGTAATATAATACTATAAATAAAATAATATAAAATAATAAAATGTAATATAATACTATAGTTAAAATAACATAATATAATATAATATAATATAATATAATATAATATAATATAATATAATACATCCACTTCAAACATTGACTACTGTATGAAATTATAATGGTATCTCTATGATACCTAAATGCGCATTAAAACTTATAAAAGGTTGGAACAATTGTGTGAACTATCCCTTTAAAGACAAAATGAAAACAAACTGTAATACCTCCTCCGCATTGGCAATGCACATGATGTAGAGTTTGGAAGGGAATGGGAAAGGCAGAGGGAATTTCTTGTCCTCTCCTCTCTGTTTGACAGTTTGCAGCGAGTGACGCAGAGATCCACGGCCGATGCCCAGTGCTCCGTCAGTGACCAGCACCACCTGCAGGCCAACAGAACAACAACAGAAACACACAACAACAACGACATGATGAATGCAGTCAAAACCACCAATAAGGAAACAGAATATACAAATAATTATTTGTAAAAATATAAACAGAAACAATTACTCTACTGTTTATTATAAAGGTTTAATGGTCAAACGTTGTGATAAAGTAGATAAAGTACCATAACTATAACACTCTACACACCAATATTAAAAATCTTTCTTTTTCATTTACTGAGACATCTTAATAACAAAACAAATTTGCAGAGTACAAATATTGGCAGATAATATACAGTACAATGCAAGCAATTTTAAAAGTCAATTGTACATTTATATCTTTCTCTTAGATATTCTACCTTGCACTGAAAAAATATTGCATAATTTGTATTATCTTATATCTGTATATTACTGTCATACTGAAATGATTTAACAAACTAATCTCTGAAATGAACACTTAAACGGTGCATTTTCTGCAAAGCTTGAAAACTGTAAGTATTGTAAAGAGCAAATACACAGTACATATAGTTCTAAAATGTTCACATCAAATTAAATGTACCAAACTGATTTTATATTCATGCAAAGCATACAAAGTTGAAGTAAAATGCCTACTTTAGTGTTACCAAAAAAATAACTACTGTGAAAAATGTCAGAATATAGAGATGAAACATATTTATTCTGATGTGTACTTATTAAAACACCTAAAAGAATAAGTGAGCATACTAAATTGTATTGAATGCTAAATTATTGAAATGTTTTTCTTACATATGGATTAAAGCTTGGTTTGAATTATACATTACTGACAAATCAAATTAGTATTTTGGAGCTGCACTGTTACCTTTTTAATGTAATCTAATGATTCTTATACTATATGTGCATGATTTTTGTTTGTATAAAAACAATTGTAACAGAGATTGCCATTTTAAATCAACCTAATGATGTTGCAATTATTTATTAAAACTACATTACACACCACACGTATACATGTTTTACATAGTATATGTATATTACATAAATAATATTTGTATGTTGATTTACCTGGCATGGACAAGCAGATCCCCACTCCTGCTGTACTACATTACTAACACCTTGTAAAGCTCCTTCCAGGCAGGTTTTATCATAGTCTTCAAGGTTATTCAAGGCTTCCTGGAAGAAATAAGATCTTGATTTAGGTTTCAGCTATAGCATGTACATTTTTCTTTCATGCAACACGACACACACTTTTTATTTTACCTGCAATGTATTGTAGTCTCTAGTGAAAGGCACCATTAGCTCCCAAAGCGAGGAAAAGGCCACAAGTGAAGTGAACTCCAGCTTGTAGTTTGTGGCCATGTGCTCAAACAGCATGGTCAGTCCATGAACTGCCAGGTTCTTCCTCTGAAACTCTTCACTGCCCTCCACTGACACCGGTCGCGTCATGGACAGCGACGAGTCCATAAGAACCACCGTGGGCATGTTTGCAAGCTGTTCTCTTTACACGCTGAAGAACAGTTATGAATGAATATAGGAGATATCTGCGGAAAACAAAAGCACAAGTTGGTGTATTAACAGATGCTTCTGCAGTGGACGTTCTCGTCAAAGTACATCCAGAAAAATGTTTACCCCTGCTATCATTTTACTCACCAACAACTTTAATATCTAAAAAACAATATTAAACTTTCTAAAATCATTTCAGCATCGATATCACAATGTGGCCATTCACAATAGTCACATTGCAGAAATTACAATATTAAGTCTGGATTATGTTTGATCAGTTTGCATGTGTCAAAGGATTTTAAAACTATTCAGGCATAAGAATTTGTGCCATTTGTACATTTAATAACTATTTTGTTTTATCATTTATACAATGAAGACTATGCAGTATTATTTTACATTTGATAATTCAATTACTGTTGACCTGAACACACTTAGATTCCTCAAAACAACAACAACAACAAAACACCGTTTATATCATTTGAATCTCTTTACATTATATCCATCTGTGCTTGTAGATTGTTTCTTATATTTTGTGCAGATGCACTGCCCGAAATAATCATCCCAAGCTAACAAAAATGATAAATTCTTTCCAAATAGACAGTCATCTAGTGAAATTGTATTAATTTCGCTATATGAGAAATGTAAACAAAAACAATGGTCCAGACTCCCAACACATTTCCTGTTTCACATTTTTAATTTCTATAGCATCCAAGAATCCAAGAGCCACATATTGATAAATAATGCTATGATAGCTGTATTAACATTACGTTATGATTTGTTTGATAACAAGCAGGAAATGTTCATGGGCCAATGACATGACCACACTCAATTGGTCTAGGTATGTATCAGAATTTAAAAATATATTAATGTTACATTTTTCCAATACCGCTACTCGTTCTAAACCTATTTGAATTTCATAATGCTGATCATAAGACATTTTGATGAATGCTGGAAGATTGTGAAAGTTGACATACTCAGTATTTTTGTTTCATATTGTAACGTTAGATGTCAATGACTACTAGTTACCAACATTTCTTAAAATATCACTCGTTATGTTCAATAGAGGAAATAAACACAAAGGTTGGGAAAAAAATTAAGGATGGGTAAATGTTGAGTAAACTTAAATTTTTGAGCATGGTAGAAATATACTACATTAATCGCGTGTGTGCTTTAATATGCGAATAAACAGGAAAGAGGCTTTGAAGTTTTCTAGTTGTTTGATTAGCTGGTCTCCGAGTTTAACGTTACAGCTCATAGTTTCCAAAACCAACCCACTGAAAGGCCAAGAAATCATCTCAGGGTGTTTAAATCTGGTTTCTCAGCTAGGTACATATAAAACGTTTTAAAATATATTTTAATACTTTTTTAAAGGTAGTAGAGCAACCAAAACAAAATATGTAATGTAATGAGAGTTACATTATCAGTGACCAAACGTCAGTGACCAAACGTTCACCCTGAAAAACATTAAATGATCATAAAAGTATAAATACAATAAATTCTTGATATGTTTAATACAATGCGTAGGTAAGCATAACAACATTCGTTTAAAAAGCGTTAAAATGTTTACCCATTTCTGCAAATGCTCTCTTCTTCTTCACCAAGCGCGCACCGTAATAAGCAGACCGGTGGGGAACAAAAGAAGCCTACCAATCCGTTCCTACTCGGAAACGCGCGAGATAGATTCTAAAAAGTTGTGTGAAACTATCACTCTCTCACTTTGTGTTTGTTTGTTTTCAAAAGTGTAAAGATGAAAAACGAGTAAAAGATAGCATGTCCTGAAACCTATAAGCCTAATATCACCCCGGGAACAAAAAATATATTTACAATTTTAATGCTAATCTGTAATCCATAGTTCATAAAGATAATTACCAATAATTACAAAAGAGAAAATATTTTCTCGAAGTAATTGTTAGCCTTCGATTTGTATTTTTCTAGCCACTTTACATGACGTTCAATTTCTGGGAATTGTGAATGAGACGCAAATGATCAGAATAATTGTGCTAAAATGGCTGGAGGAGTAATGAGAGTGTGGGGTGAGAGTACATCTAATCCTCTTAAAAGACTTCAGGTATTAGTTTTTGTGCTGATCCACGCTGAAGAGCCTGTCCTGCGGTGCGTCCTGCTTGACCTGAAGCCGCTCTCTCTCAGCATCCGCGCCTTCCCTGCAGTCCAGCTGTGAGGGAGAGAGAGACGTAGCGCTCATCGCATCGCCCGACGACCGGTACGTTTCTTTAAGCTTAACTATAATTTATTATGACATTAGTAGAATAAGTATTAATGTGCATATCTTTGATAATATATTTCATTAAGCTATTTTAGGATTTGATACAGCACTGATACAGCTTGACAGCAACAGTTGATGACACTTTGTATTTCACTATTCATTCCGTTTCGTTTCACACAATGATGCTCAGTGTTTCACTGTTTTTGTGGAAATTGCTTAATGGCAAACGGTTGACAAAACTTTACACCGTAGATGCAATCTGTTTAACACGGTTTTGTTTAGAGTAAAATGTTCGAGATTTTTTTTCTTTATTAATTTATTTAAAAGCAGTGTAAAAAGGTTGTGTATTATCATCCTTCATTATTACTATGCAGTATGATTTTTATGACACTTTACCTGAATTAAATAGCATTTTAAATAGATAGATAGATAGATAGATAGATAGATAGATAGATAGATAGATAGATAGATAGATAGATAGATAGATAGATAGATAGATAGATAGATAGATAGGCACAGAGACTGACCATTTAGAAACAGGTGATAATGTAAATGAACCTACTTTTGGATCTCATTCAGCTGTCACCCCCCACTTTTAAAATGTAAGTATCTATATATAGTCGATATAATCTATAGATAGATAGATAGATAGATAGATAGATAGATAGATAGATAGATAGATAGATAGATAGATGGGCACAGAGACTGACCATTTAGAAACAGGTGATAATGTAAATGAACCTAAAGTTTTGGATCTCATTCAGCTGTCACCCCCCACTTTTAAGATGTTCGCTACACCCCTGGATAGATAGATAGATAGATAGATAGATAGATAGATAGATAGATAGATAGATAGATAGATAGATAGACAAACAATTAAATTGATAAAAGCTTGAATTTTCTTATGAATTAATAGCATTTTGTTGCACTGTATAACCCAATAAATTAAGGAAACTCAAACCGCTTAAGGAAACCGATTGCAAAAAAAAAACATTTAAGTTCAAAAACTAATCCTAATGAGTGCTGTGAACTTAATCTATTTGAGTTAATGAAGCAATGTGAGCACAGTAAAACCCAATCAATGAAGAGAACTCAAACCCACTGAGTATACTGTAAAACCTAATGAGTTAAGGTAACTCAAACCATTTGAGGAAACCGATTGCTACAAACCATTTGCGTTAAAATAATAATCTATTTGAATACTGTGAACTTACTCCATCTCAGTTGAAGTAATTTAATTAACTCATTACCTTCAACATTACATTGAGTCCAAAACTCTTTTCAAATGAGTAGAATTACCTTTCAGTCAATTTTGAGTTAACTACACTCATTTCATTTGATAAAGTTGACTGTTGGGTTTTATAGTGTTTTTCAGTGGCAGTTTTATCAATTTTGACAAATTTCTGATGTTTGATCCACTTTTAAAGAGTGTCTCTTACAATGATTTCCAAATTATTATCAGTTTAATCCAATGTAACGTGTTGGTTAGATAAGGTGTAAGTCTTAGAACAGCCTTAGGAAAGTAGCGTAACGTCCACTGTAATCTGCTGATCCTGCATTCAGTGTTGTTTATGCAACTGTTGCACTCAGTGTTCCTCCTTTTATCTTCTGTAAGGTCTGTGAGAGGAAACCTCAGCATCACAGAGAAAATGAGATGAAACAGTCTGAGAGTGAGTCCTGCATACCCCTGCATCTTTTAGCGGGAGGTTCTGGGTGTCACAGCCCTAAAAAACAACTCTGTGCCCTTTAGGAAACACTCAGAAAATGTTCCTGACTCGAAGGAAGAGACTTCATCTCAGCCGGATTATATTTCTTCTGTCCGGGGTTTTCCTTTGCTCTTTATATCAACTCACGATCAGAGCCAGACTTCCAGATCCCTGGCCCGAACCCCAAAGAGCCGGAGACCCTGAGGATGGCTCTGGACTTGCCCTGGAAGGAGGACTGTCAGAAATGCCAGAAGTCATGACTAATTCGACCACTGTTCACCCAAAAAACTCAGATGAAGTTCGTTCATCAGAGACAGTAACCAATGCACCTGTCCTAACAACATCTACTACAACTGAGGCACCTTCCACAACAACAAACAGGACAATCGTCCACTGTATCTATGTGGATCCAGACCTCCCAAAACCCACTCCAGTTCCAACTCCAGCAACTGAAACGACCACTCTGGTGCCCAACACTACCGCGCCCCAACCTGGAGATGCACCACACATGAAGGGCGAGTATCCGGAGGACATCTTTTCCATTGAGGATCGACGCAAAGGCTGGGTCTCTCTCCATATTTTTGGAATGGTATACATGTTTGTTTCTTTGGCCATCGTCTGCGACGAGTTTTTTGTCCCAACTTTAGGGGTTATAACAGACAAACTGGCCATCTCTGATGATGTAGCCGGGGCGACGTTCATGGCCGCTGGAGGCTCAGCTCCTGAACTTTTCACCTCTTTGATTGGAGTCTTCATTTCTCATAGCAATGTGGGCATTGGGACCATCGTTGGCTCGGCTGTTTTTAACATCCTCTTCGTAATTGGAATGTGTGCACTGTTTTCACGCGAGATGCTTCACCTCACCTGGTGGCCTCTCTTTCGGGACGTGTCCTTCTATATCCTGGATCTCATCATGCTTATCATCTTCTTCCTGGACAACACCATTATGTGGTGGGAGAGCATGATGCTGGTGGGAGGTTATGCTCTATATGTAACCTTCATGAAGTTCAATGTTCAGTTAGAGCGCGCCTTTAAGTCTCAGCTCAGCAAACACAAGAGCATCGTCAAAGTCATTGCGGTGGAAGAACCAGAGAAGGTACGTCTAATTGTTTTTGCTTTGGGTCAGATGGATTTGGCTACATGCCTCATGTGCAGGGCAGAACAATTTTGGCTATTTCTCCACAGAATTTTGTAAAAAAAAAATCTGATCAGATTTATGCTGAATGATTTTGAGAGTACAAGATCTGAAAAGAGTGGCAGAGGGGCTCAGTGGTTATCACTGTCACTTCACAGCAGTAAAAGGTCGCTGGTTTGAGTCCCAACTGGGCCAGTTGACATTTCTGTGTGGAGTTTGCATGTTTTCCCCATGTTCGCGTGGGTTTCCTCTGGGTGCTCTGGTTTCCCCCACAGTCTAAAGGCATGCAGTATAGGTGAATTGGGTTAACAAAAATTGTCTGTAGTGTTTGAGTGTAAATGTAAGAGTGTTTCCCAGTACTTGGAACATAGTTGGCGAGTAATTCTGCTATGGCAACCCTTTTATACATAAGGGAATACATAAGCAGAAGGAAAATGAATGAATGAAGATCTGAAAACTTTCATTTAAGTTTCATAAAGCAAATTCAGTTAAAACCACTTGTTTTGTAAATAAAGCTGCAGTAAGTCTTCCATATAATATTTCTGCTAAAATTATACTGTACATAAATTCTGTAAACATTTGCATTTTTTTCAATAATTTTACTGAAATTAATATTAAAACTGAGTGTCATGCAGACATAAAACATAAACATTTTTATTTCTGTATTTATTTAACAAATACCATTTATAACTTAATAGTAGTTTTTGGGGAGTCACTCACCACATGATACCATTTATTTTGCAACCTAAAGTAATTTTTCCATCTTACAAAATACCTTTTTTATTTTTTTCACAAATATTTTAATGAATAGGGTGTGAATCAGTTTAAATTAATCCAAATATATATATTTTAAATATATTCTTTAATATTCGTAAATAAATAGTCTATATTTGGGTAGCTGCAGATTGATTGATTGACATTAGCCATTAAAGGGGTGGTCCACTACGATATTATATTTTAAACTTCAGTTGATGTGTAATGTAGCTGTGTGAACATAAACAGCATCTCTGAATGTAAAATATTCAAAGTTTAATGCAAAGGGAGACCTTGATTTGTACAGAGTTAGCTTAGCAACGCCTACAATTAACGAATTTTGGGGACTACAAAAAATACTTCCGCCCCCTGTGAGATCACAAAAGTTCGTTATTGCGCATCCCACACTGCGCAGGTAAAGGCCGTGGCCAGAGGCGCTGTAACGTTACTGCAGAGAGAGAAATGCCATCCTGCTGTTTCCACAGAGCTGTTCTGTTTCTGTTGTTGGGCTTCCAAATGACACGACCCAAACACAGAAGTGCTTACAGTTCAATATTAATTATGTTCCAGAGAACTATAAAATACATAGCAAGCATGATTTGACAAAACACAGCTTCCAGAATCTCTCCCAGTTCAGTGCTGGATTCAGTTAAAATCTCCTCAAAGATGGAGCAAGGAGACGCTGTGAACTCTGAGTCATGACCTGTAAGTGTTTTTATTTGTTAAAATTGATCATGACATGTACAGTGTCTAACTTTAACGGTGTGTTGTAGCAAAGATGTAAACAACGGGAAATTATGGTAACCGCTAACGACTTAGCTAACGTTACAAATCCATATTTATCAAACGGCTGTAAACGCACACACACACATACACATACACGCACTCTTGGCCAGCACCTGCGTCTCTCTGTGTGAGACGGCAGAATTTCTCTCTATAGGCAGCTATGCTATGCGTTTTACAACTCGGACAATAAAGTCGCAAAAGATATGTGAACGATTCATGTTACTTACACAGGCATATTCCGCATATGCATGAAAGACGTCCTGTAACGCATTGATTTAAAAAAAATACAGCAATGATTTCCCAACTGGAGTGTAACATCAAAAACAAATCAATCCAGGCTCACAAAGGTCTCATCTCACATCTTGTGCTTTATTCTGTCACCACAGAAGATAACTTAATCCGAGCATGAGAGAAAAAGAACAATAAAAATCTCTCCCGCGCACATGCGCTTCTCGTGTTACAAATACTTCATCGTATACACGCATAAACACACTAAAAGGCACAGAAACAGTTAAAGGAGCCGCATCCCATTTTCACTCGTTACAGACACGTGTTGACTGACTGACTGACTGTTTACACAAAACGCGCGTGCTTGTCAGGGCGTGACGTGAAGCCGATCGGCGTATCACAGCATATTATGATGATGACCAATCAGAGTCACTTGAGGGTGGGCCTTTTAGAGGAACTAGGAAATATGACAGTCGTTTTCATGTTAGCTGAGTAGCTGTGTATAATCAAAGTGAGATTTATGAAAAAATAACACGATTTCCTTCAAGTTAAACATGAGCACACATTGCTTTGCATCTTATTAACACAACCAAGCCTTAAAAATAACATTCTGGACCACCCCTTTAAAAGGATAGTTCACCAAAAAAAAAACCCAGTACTGGGAAACATCCATACACATTCACACACACATACACCATGGACAATTTAGCTTACCCGATTCACTTATACCGCATCTCTTTGGACTGTGGGAAACCGAAGCACTCGAAGGAAACATGTAAACTACACAGAAAAGCCAACTGACCCAGCTGAGACTCGAACTAGCAACCTTCTTGCTGTGAGGTGACAGTGCTAACCACTAAGGCCACCGTGTCGCTCAGAGATGAACATACTCATCATAACATTTACATTTAGTCTTTTAGCAGTTGCTTTTATCCAAAGCGACTTACAAATGAGGACAAGGAAGCAATTTACACAACTTTAAGAGCAACAATGAATAAGTGCTATAGGCAAGTTTCAGGTATGTAAAGAAAGTGTAAGAAGCAAAACATTAGTAATTTTTATTTTATTTTTGTAGTTAGTGGAGGAGGCAGAGAGGGAGTTGCATATTAGTAAGGAAAGTGGAGAGTAAATAGTTAAGTTTTTAGTCGTTTTTTGAAGACAGCGAGTGACTGCCGTTCTGATGCAGTTAGGGAGTTCATTCCACCAACTGGGCAGATTGAGCCTGAGAGTTCGGGAAAGTGATTTCTTCCATCTTGGGGATAGAACCATGAGGCGACGTTCATTCACAGAACGCAAGTTTCTGGAGGGCACATAAATCTGCAAAAGTAAGAGCACATAAGAAGGGGCGCAGCCAGAAATCGCTTTGTAAGCAAACATTAGAGCTTTGAATTTGATGTGAGCAGCAACTGGCAGCCAGTGCAAACCGATGAGTAGCGGAGTGACACGTGCTCTTTTAAGTTTATTAAAGACTACTCGTGCTGCTGAATTCTGATCATAAAAGATGTGGACTCAAGTTAATCTTGTCTTTTTTAGACTAATACAAACACAGTGTTGACATTTATTAATTTAGAACCTTGTTATGCAAACCGATCAACTGTGCATTTAATAAACATATTTGATCAGCACTGAGATCTATAACTAAAGAACTACAACCCTGTGCATTACTATCACAATGCTCAATTTGGTTATAGACTACATGTTAGCAATCAGCATAGCACTTTAATCATATTTATCACAGAAACATTTACTTCTGTTTTGAACAAGGCTGCTGCTTTACTATGTGGTAAATCTTCAAGTAATGAGGAACCATTATACTGCTGTAATATCTGCTATTGGATGTGATAGCATAGCTATAATTGCATCCCACTCAGGTGAATGCGAGTCACTTATGTTTATTCATTGAGCAGATATGCACGGGTTTGCTTTTTCCTTTGATAAACAGAAATGAAAAGGATCTCTTGTGTCTGCTGCGGCCAGACATTGTTAATGAGTTGTCTTGTAGCAGACGAGGTATTCGGAGCAGGTGCGTTCGGCTCAGAGTGACGGCCCCATCTGTATTAGTGACACCATCCCATCACATATTAAAATCATGAGGCCATTTTCACAAGTTCCTTTCTTCATCCTGAACATCCCTCAGATTAGACGTTGTGATGAGATGCAGGTTTAGAGAGATCAACTCTTGATAATCTGTCATAACATCTCAGTGTTCACACTCACGTGACTTTAATCTGAAGTGACAAACAGACAGTCAGATTGTGTAAACATGTCTCATATTGTAAAAGAAATGTTAAATAGTAAGTGACAGGATGCATTTGCATTCACAATAAGGTTTTTAGATGCTTTTCATGCACTTTCATATGATCAAAAAGATCTGTCATAGAGCTTCTGGACTTGTTATAACACAGTGGCTTCTCTGATCTAGAGATATTGACGTAATCTGCTGAGGGTCTACTGTGATGTACAAACTGTGTAACATATAGAGTGTTTAAATCTGATAAGTGTGATTGAAGCTTATATAGCGTAAGACGGCTTACTAGACCCGGAGGACCTAGATCTCTGTCAAACTAAACCCAATGGATTGAATTTACCACAGATAAGTAACAAGAACAGCAGTAAAAATACAGAATTGAATTTTTTTTTAACATTAGGTTGTTTATTAATGTGTCATTTTTGTAAACTAAAGCTAAATACAATTTTATGGTAAATAAAACAAAGTAGACAAAAATGTTTAAGCAAGAAGATGCCTAGGAAAGTTGAAGGGCAAATTTTGACCTAAAGTTACTTTTATTTCACCAGCTTGTTTTTTTCTTGACCAGAAAATGACACAGGCTTCTCCCAAAAGATAAGACGATGTACAAGAGGCTTCATTGTGGAAAAAAATATTTCTCAGCTTTTATTTACATTTAAACAATGGAATTTGCCAGGGGTGTGAATAATTTTGGGCTTTACTGTGTAAAGTGTTGTAAAATAAATTACAATAATCTATAAATAATATAATAGTTTAAAATGATATAATAATAAAACACTGGATGCCTCAGCCACATTTTTTTTACATTCATAACAAAAAAGTAATAACAGTGCTCAGCATAATTGAGTACACCCCATTTTGTAAATAAGTATTTGTATCTATTTGTCAGTGAATATAGGCAATGTATTTTGGTGTATTTACACAAAAAGTTTTGTTTAAACAGATATATTTATTAAAATAATATTTTAGTCACTCAATGTCTTTAGAAGTTGAATGATAATACAATTAAACAACTAATATTGCAAAAAACATTACAACCTACAACATTTCTTTAAAAAAATATTTTTCTCTTAAAATATAAAAAACTTCTAAAAAAAACTCTTGATTTTTCCTCTTTTTTAATATTTGTATTTAGTATTTTTCTATAACATATAAATTTCGGTGTACTAGTTTTTAGACCGTTATCCTAAGTTATTTTGTTAGATAAGCTCCAGATTTGGCTATACTGACTAATCTAATACATATGCAATACTGCAATACTGACTAATCCATATGCACAAATATTGTATATAGTTTTCTATTAAAAATATACATTTTACAGATAGATTTGGTGAGGGGAGTACTTATATATGCTGAGCACACTCTTTAGCTTGTTCAAGCTGCTTATTTAAAATGAGCTGAAACAACACAATTCTTGAGATTTTATTGGGACAATTTAATGTTTATGTTCAATCCACACAAATTTGTTAAAAGTGTTACATTAACTTAATCGATTTGTGTAGGGACAACATGAATTAATTGTGTGGAACCCTGCATTTTTTACACTGTATATTTAATTTTAGAAAAAATACAGACATGAATACATTATGTATTTTAGTGTATGAGGAAACTTAAAGGGAAATTTCACCCAAAGATCCAAACCTTTATGAGATTCTTCTGTTGAACACAAGAGAAAATATTTTGTAGTGAGCTAGTGACCTCCAACCATTGACATCCATAGTTTTTGTTTTTCCTACTTTGGAAGTAAAAGGTTACAGGTTTTCAGCTTACTTAAAAATACATTCTTTAGTGTTCAATAGAATAAGGTTTAATAAAGTTTACCTATTTAAAGTAGGTAAGGAATCACTTTAGGGTGAGTATTTTCAATTTGAGGTGATCTGTCCTTTTAAGTATACTCATTCATTAATTATTTTTTTTGGGCTTAGTCCCTTTATTAATCCGGGGTTGCCACAGCGGAATGAACCGCCAACTTATCCAGCACATATTTTGCGCAGCGGATGCCCTTCCAGCTGCAACCCATCTCTGGGAAACATCCACACACACTCATTCACATTCATACACTATGGACAATTTAGCCTACCCAATTCACCTGTACCGCATGTCTTTGGACTCTTGGGGAAACCGGAACACCGGAAGGAAACTCACGCGAACGCTGGGAGAACATGCAAACTCCAAACAGAAACGCCAACTGACCCAACCAAGGCTCAAACCAGTGACCTGCTTGCTGTGAGGCGACAGCACTACCTACTGTGGCACTGCGTCGCCCCTTTAAGTATACTAGTGTAGAATATTACAAATATCCATCTTTCCAATGAGACGATAAACCGAGCTCCTGACTCTTTGTGGTCATTAAAATTTCCCATGGCACTTCTCGTAAAGAGAAGGGGTGTGACTCCGGTGCGCTGTTCCACCAAATTGGCTCTCCACAACACCTATAGCTAGTGTGTGGTGAGCGCACTGGCACCCTTGTCATGTGGTTGCCGTTGCATCATCCAAGTGGATACTGCACACTGGTGGTAATCTGGAGAGACCCCCCCTCATGATTGTGAAGCGCTTTGAGTATGTGGCCATGCACAATAGAAATACACATTACATTAGATATTTACAACATTAAAAATAAACTTTATAATAATAATATAGTCACCTTTATTCTCTGAATATTTTGCATACTCTGTAATTCTAAATGGTGTTGCACACAGGATAATGGAACCTCAGGTGAAGAGAACAGGCCACCTGAACCAGAAGACAAGAATCGATTAAAGGTAAACAGAAATGTGCAAAAATATGTACAAACATCAATAGATAAATATATGTAAATAAATCACTGGATTAGGAGTCAGAATATATGTGATCCTCTGATAACTTTTTCAAATTAGAGTGTAAGTGGCTAGAGAAGCAGCTGTCAATCTCAACTAGTGGACCAATGATGATGTTGAAGCCCTCCGTGATTTAAATTAAAGTCTAAGGACATGGTTTGTTCACAAAAGTGCAAAATGTGAAAACAAAGCAAAGGGGATAAGACTATATGTTTATATATAATTGGAAAAAAAAAACTGATTTTGTTTGTAATTTAGAAAACTTTTAATGCAGAGTTCAATCTTGTGCAAAAGAGATTTAAATGTGTGGGGTTTTTTTTGATTCACAGTTATTATTTTTTATCCCTGACCTCATTGTTTTTTTATTCTAAAATAATGTAGAATTTATTTTTCATAATTTGAAATTAAGCTTACATATTTTTTTTGCATGACCTCAATAAGTTCAGGGGATCCTTTAAGTTTGATTTATGCCATACTATAATCAACAGATAATTAATGTTTCCAAACAAAGTCCTTCTTCATTAGTTGCACAAATATTGCTATGTTGGCCTGCTGTGTTGTTCTGATTTTGTGAAATCAGCCTATTTTATGTTGTTGTATCTGCATATCAAGCTAGCAACATTCATGATTGTCTTTATCAAATTAGATATTTCAAATATCCTATTTTACTAATATTAGATTATTCATTTAAATAAATAGGATGTACGTATAACCTGTAAGTTCAAAGTAGGGTTCATATGTGATGTCTGTTCACATGAATGCACTTTTTTTGCCTTTTAATTCTTTAAAATAATTTTTTTTAATTTGGAGTTATTGATTGAGTAAATGCCACATGGTATATAAGAGTTTTGTTTAATAATTCTAAATTGTTTAAGTAACATCTAAAATAAACACCAGGAATACACTCTAATCCACTAATCTGTTACAAACAGTTCTTTAGATTTTTTAAAATATTCTTCACACTATTCTTCACACAAGGCTATTTCAAGGATTATTATTTATTAAAAGGTAACTCTGAGATTTAAAAATGGTTCTTGTATGGCATCACTGCAAAACCCCCCTTTGTAATATTTATTTCGAAGAGTGTTTGATCTATGACCTCCACTTCAGGATGAGACAGAAAGTCTGTCAGTATGATAATTTAGCGTGAGCGATTGTCTGAATGTTTCCTGTGTGTTGTGCAGCTGAAGCCCACACTGCAGCGCGGGGGCAGTTCAGCCTCTCTGCATAACAGCACCATGAGGAACACCATCTTCCAGCTGATGATTCACACTCTGGATCCTCTTGGAGAGGGTAAGAGCCCTTCAGTGTCTGAACCCTCATAATGATAACTCATTAAGCACACAATGCACGAAGCATAACCTGTTGCAGTTCTGCATGTTTAAAGGGACAGTGACCCAAATATTTCAATTGTCTTATCACTTACGGATGTATGACTTTCTTTCTTCCCTATAACAGTGATTAGAGCCCTGTATGGACAAATAAACACTGATATATTCTTCAATATAGATATTTACACTACCGGTCAAAAGTTTGGGGTAAGGGTTTTTTCATGTTTTATTTTTTAAAGAAAATGATTCTGTTCATCAAGGCGGTATTTATTAAAGGTAAAAAAAAGAGTTAAATTGTTAAATATTTATTACAATTGTAAATAACTGCTTTCTTATTGTATGTGGTTTCGAATGAAATTATTACACCAGTCATTATTGCTTTTATTACTATTACCATTATTAAAAATGCTTTTAATAACAATAAAAATAAATATTAGAGTGATTTCTGAAGGATCATGTGACTCCAAAGACTGAAGTAATGAAGCTGAAAATTCCTCTTTAAAATCACTGAATAAAACATTAAATTACACTATAAACTGCTTTTAAACAGTTATTTTTTTAGTGCAATAACATTTACAATTTTACAATTTGTACTGTATTTTTGATTAAATAAATGTAGCCTTGGTGAGCAGGAGAGGCTTATTTTAAAACATTTAAACATCCTACTGTCCCCAGACTTTTGACCGGTAGTGTAATTCATTCATTAAACTCTTCTGGACTGATTTGAGTTTTTTAATAGTATCTATTTACTTATTTATTTCCATTATAAACTGTGTTATATCACTCTCTTTCACCAGCACTGCATATTTATAGATGATTTTATTTTCTGATTTTCTTGCGTTTTCTATAGCGTATCTTTTTTTAGGTCATGTGCATGCCTTCATTTCTTCATGACATATGACAAAACATACATATATTTCATAGCAAAAATGCCATTTAAATCATACACTGTAAAAGATTTAAATCTATTCAGAGAGCTCTCATGATTGGAATTACAAGAAGGAAAGCCATACAGTTTTGGAACGACAACAACATCATGTGGTCATCACCGAACTAGAATTTTTGCATAAACAATGCAGTTCAGATATGATCTACTAGCAAACATAAATGATTGTTATTTTTGAAATTTAGTGGTTAATTTCTCAGTCTGATGATCTCATTTAAAGTAAATACACCAATCAAAAGGTATGATTTCAAAAGGTATACATTTGAAGTCAGAATTATTAGCCCCCTTTATTTATTTTTTATTTTTTAAATATTTACCAAATTATGTTTAACAGAACAAGATAATTTTCACAGTATGTCTGATAATATTTTTTCTTCTGGAGAAAGTCTGATTTGTTTTATTTCGGCTAAAATAAAAGCAGATTTTAATTTTTAAAACACCATTTTAAGGTCAATATTATTAGCCGCTTTAAGCTATATTTTTTCGATAGTCGACAGAACAAAGTATCTTTATACAATAACTTGCCTAATTACCCTAACCTGCCTAGTTAACCTAATTAACCTAGTTAAGCCTTTAAATGTCACTTTAAGCTGAACAGAAGTGTCTTGAAAAATATCTAGTCAAATATCACTTACTGTCATCATGGCAAAGATAAAATAAATCACTTATTAGAAATGAGTTATTAAAACTATTATGTTTAGAAACATGAAAAAAATAAACAGGGGGGCTAATAATTCTGACTTCAACTGTACATTTGTTCCAAATGGATCTACATGGGTACCTTGAAAGTACATCAGCACCTTTTGTACCTTTTTTCTGAAAGTAATTAATAAAACTATTGTAAAGTTAATTGAATTATTCTTTTTTCAATTGAAGTAATATTTTGATGATTTGAGCGAACATATACTAGGGAACCAGTTACTAAATAATTGGCGTTTACTAAATTACTAAACACCATGTTAAATGGGTTTGTACAAAATGTATGATTTAGAAACAACAATTATAAAGTCATACCTTAACCAGACCTTAAACATAATTGTCACTGTGGCATGTGTAAATATGTGATTGTGCAAATTCATTATCATTGATTAAACTGTCAAAACATACAATTGTCACAAACCGTCGTAAGATTATGATGTATATACTTGTTAAAGTAAATGCAGAAAATGTATAGCCTAAGAATATTGTTCTCTTTGATTATTTAAAGGGATAGTTTACCCCAAAATTTAAATTAAGTCATTTATTCACACTTAACTTGTTTAAACCTGTTTATCTTTCTTTCTTTTGTTAAAAATAAAGAAGATATTTTTGAAGAAATCTGAAAACCTATAACTATTAATCTCCATAGTATTTGTTTTTGAGTGATTTTTGGTTCACTGTAGATTTTTGTTTCAGATTTTGTATGGTTACACCTTTTTACAGATGAATTGTAAGAATAATTGTACAAAGATCAAAATACCAAATGATCTACTGTGTATTCCCTCATGCAAGGACCGTAAGGCGTTCAGAAGTGTAGCAGGAGAGTCCCTTTGTCCTTCTCCCAGTACAAATGGATTAGCAAAGCGTGTTCCATATGATGACAGCACTAAGTCCAGATTGATACTAAGAAGATAAATAGCTCTTTCTCAGTCTATGGAGTGGAGAGTGATTCATAGTAGTGAGAGAAAAGGGGTCGGGCCCACCAAGTCAAGTCACATCCATGTGTATGTCACCCCTGTTTTCAATGATATGATTTGAGCCCCGCAAAAATGTAATAATAAACATCTGTGAACTACGCTAAGCTCAAACTAAAATTGGAATAGATATTAAAGCACTATATTGAAGGTATGACTTGATATGATTCTCCCTGATGGCTGGCATGTACACACGTAAATCAGAAGCTGTGGTGCTCTGTGGGTCAGCGGTTTGATGGCTGAGGTTGGTTCTCTTGACCTTCAGTCTATCCTCAGGAGACTGTGCAGCACCTGCGCTCTCAGGGTCCTCAAGGAAACCTCCCTGCACTGCGCTGCTCCATCATTAAGCTGCTTTTGATTGAGCTCATAAAGGCTGGATGAGAGCCAGGCTTGAGCAGCTCACTCCTGCTAGGGGCCATTTTTTACTGCAGCGATAGTCAATGAGATTGGTTCATTTGTAGTTACCTTTACTAATAAGTAACTAATGAGTACAACTCAGTAGCTAACTAATAAGTACAGACTGACATACACACACACACACACACACACACGCACACACACATACACACACACACACACACACACACGCACGCACGCACGCTCGCACGAACGCACGCACACAAACACACACACACACACACATACACATACACACACACACACACACACACACACACACACACACACACACTCACACAATACAAACCTATTCAATTTTCCATTTCAGCTGTAAATACATTACTGAAGTAATAAAGGTAGTAGAAACCTTCCAGTTCTAAAGGGACACTCTACTGTTTTTTGGAAATAGGTTCATTTTGAAAGTCAAAGTTTTTATAGTTTACAGTTTACAGTTTTATAGTTTTTATAGTTAAACAGAGCTTTACTATTTTTGAATCCATTCAGTCAATCTCCAGGTTTGGCCAGAAAACCTTTAGCTTAGCTTAGCATAAACATTGAATCGGGTTAGACCATTAGCCTTTTGCTCAAAAAAGATAATTTTCCTATTCAAGGCTTGACTCTTCTAGAGATACATTGTGTACTAAGACCGTACCATGGCTGCAGCTGGCACACTTATATTATGCTGCATCTGAAAATTGTCCCCATATATATAACTAGGCTACAGTGCTGCTTATTATCATTGGAGACACCCCTCACTGCAATCTATAGTGCAGTAACAACATGCATATCAATGTCATGCATGTCGATATCATACCTGTGTTAGCGTACATGCATAGCGCATGTTTTTACAGAATAGTGTCTTATAGAATTTTGATTTTACGATTTGTTGTGTGAGATGCTAACGGTATAATCCAATTGTATGACTTCTGTTAAGATAAGCTCTGGTCAAATCTTTTTAGCCCTAGGTGACTTGTAAAATGAGCCAATTTTCAAAATAAGTTGAGTAGTCCTTTAAGGAATAGCCCAGTGGTGACATTTGGATGACTAAGCAAACATGCACTGATCACTTTCCTCTCTACACCAAAATTCAAACACAACAGCAAAATGGCTGTGGTGAAATATGGATATGTTTGCACAATTTTGCAAAATCATGTTGACAGAAATCTGCTGATAGCTCTATAGACTAATCAATCTAAAGACTTTTTGGATTGTGAAAAATGACATCATAATTCAAGAGTTCAGGCTTGATTATTTACCAATTTCTTTAACAATTTAGTACATTTAAAGGGATAGTTGGTTGTGAAACACAAAAGAAGATATTTAGAAAAATGTTAAAAACTGGTAACATCCATTCTTTCATTTTAATTTCGGCTTAGTCCCTTTATTAATCAGGGGTCGCCACAGCGGAATGAACCATCAACTAGTCCAGCATGTGTTTTACAAAGCGGATTCCCTTCCAGCCACAACCCAACACTGGGAAACACTCATACACTCTTGCATTCACACACATACATTACGGCCAATTTAGTTAATTCAATTCACATGTACCGCATGTCTCTGGATTGTGGGGGAAATCACCTGGAGGAAACCCACGCAAACATGGGGTGAACATGCAAACTCAACACAGAAATGCCAACTGACCCAGCTGGGGCTTGAACTAGTGAACTTCTAGCTGTAAAGCCATTGTGCTACCCACTGCGCCACCGTGACGCCCCTGGTAACATCCATAGTAGGTAAAACGAATACTCTAGATGTCATTGGTTACCAGTGTCCCAACATTTTTCTAAATATCTTCTTTTGTGTTCAACACAAAAAAGAAACTCAAGTAGGTTTGTACCAAGTGAAAATGGTGCTAGAATTCTCAGTTTTTGGTTAACTCTCCACTTTAAACACTGCCACTTGGTATTTACAAGTCAGTGCAGACATGAAGGGTGTTTGGAGCTGTATTTCTTAATTCGCCTTGGTATTTACTGTATATGACTCTACTTTTACTCATTAGAGTCAGTGTTTAATGGAGATGCAAAGGCTAGAAGCTCTTTGGAATGTAAAGGTAAGGGGCTTTAGTGTTGTGTGATGTTATTCTTGTGTTTGTTTTCCTGTAGCAGCCTGTGTGATCATGACGTTTTGTATCACGTCTCTGTGAAATTAGGGCTTTCATCATCTGTGTCACTGCCATTGTTGACCCTGACAGTTTCAGTCAAAGTCTGCATTCAAGCTATATTCTCCCTTTCCTGGTTTGCAGTGAAATTTAAAGACAAGGCTCAGATTTTGAACGACATGGCCCGGGGGAAGGTAGAGAACAAAAAGAAGGAAAAATCTGGTGAAGGTGAGATTTTACGATCTTAGTCTGTTCTCTATTATGATTGCGCAGAGCTTTGTAGACAGGTCTCTGCATTGTCCTACCTCACAGATGAGCTCTGTTGCATATTCAAAATGGATTTTAATGTTGCATTTCCACAAGCGCTAACGCAGCAGCTGTGTGCTGGATGAAAGCTACAAAGAGAGGGCACGCTGCCAGGAGTTTGGCCCGTTTTGCCCTCTGCGCCGCATCCCGCATTCCATATTTCCACCTTTTGTTTCTACTTGAGAGCTGCTTTACACATTAGCTGACATAATGACCAAGCTCCATCTCATGAATTAAGCATGAGTGGCTTGGAATCAATTGCGGATTATCTTGCGCCGCGACTGTGGGCTTTGAAATTGCCGCCAAAAAGATACCGCAACATTACTCACTCCTATTGAGAAAATCTTCACTCCACATCTGAGAGGAGCTTGTAGTATTGTTACATGCAAGACTTAACTGCAGGATTCATTCATGTTTTACTATCATGGTTTAAATAAGGTGATGATCAATCGGAGCAGACCAAGGATTCAAAAGACGCGCCTCCAGGAGCCAAAGATGAAGACACCAATCAGAAGTCTGAGGCACAAAAGGTGGGCCTACTGCATCAAAACAAATGTTTGGAAGAACAAGCAAGAGCTCTGAGACACTTGCGTGCTTTTAATGAGCTTCTCAATTCTTTACCCTGTTGTAAAGCAGACAGAGGTGATCTGATTTATATAGTACGTCATTCATATTCACATTTTTGTTCAGTTGAAAAGTCTGTCATCTTGGGCTGGGCGATTTGGACTAAAATCTAAATTTTGATTAAAACTTTATTACGATTAATGAAAGATTATTCATTTATTAATTTATTTTTTGTCCTCCATGTTTACTGACAAGTTTTGTACAGTAAATATGCTCAAATATTACAAGTGAGAGATTTTTAAATGGTGCATTACTTGATTTTAAAATAATTGAAGGAAGCAAACACTATCTACGGTCATTTATTGAACATGAACGTTGAACAAGTGAAATTAAAACACACATTGCCTAAAAAAAACTGTCACTTTTTTTCTTATAAAAAAGTGAAAATGAATAGCTTGCACTTTTGAAAACCAAATAAATTATTTTTAATGTTTTTCCTATTAAAAGTAGAAAATAAACAGTATCTCATGTAAACAAAATAACTCTTGTATATCCTGTAAATAATATTTTAAACAGTATTTTTCTTGAATGTAAATAATAAATTTACTGTAATGGAAAATATGCCATCTAAGGTTTCTCTGGTTCAAGCTTTCAATCTTCGTCAATGTAGTGCAAACGTGCGACGTGTAGTTGCATTTTTTTTGAGAGGTGCACGGGTATGCGACCACACCTGTGTGTTCAACGCAGAAGTTTAACTCAGTCTCAACAGAGCAGGGTCACGTTACTCCACAAGCAGAGGCAAAGTATTTGACAAAATTGACCTGAAAAAATAAGTATGAATATAGGTTCTGAATGTCGATTACTTAAAAAAAAAATCTTTTTGACTACCTTTTCGATTAATCGCCCAGCTCTACTGTCATCATTTATTCATTCACACTATGTTCTTTCTTCAGTGGAACACAATGCGAAAGCTTTTGAACAATGTAATCTAATGGCAATGAAATACAGATTTTAAGACAAAAAAAAAACAGACATGATGTCAAAAACACGTCAAAAACACCAATCGATGTGATATTAATTGACTTACTTGATGGCAAAACAACATCCAAATGACATTGTCATTAAAAAACACATCAAAAATCAAGTACAGGTCTGTTTTGCAATCGTTTTTTGATGCGTTTTAATGCCAATGTCAAGCTCGTTAAAATTCATTTGAAGGATGCAAAGTCCAGTGTAAATTTTTAATTTAGAATTTAAGCTTTTAGATTATTATGTTTTATTTGCCTGCCAAGCTCAAACTCTTCAAGGCAGGATGGATTCTGCTTGGCCAATAGTTTTGGTTGGAAAAGCTTGTTCTGAACGTGATTCCAAAGATATTGTTAATATAGCTGTGCTGTGGACTGGAAAATTGGAATGGTTTCTAAAACTAGATAAAAAACAGTTATTATTTTTTTGTGTTAACAGGCCTTTTTTCCTCTCTATGATGTGTTTATAAGAGAAGTACCAATGACCTAACCATTGTTTTAAGTGGTCATCTCTCTGACTTCTCTGCAGTTTTCTGGAGAATATAATTTCTGACTGAATGTATTTAGATAGACTACAAACCCAGGTTTTTCATAATTTTTGAGGCTGAGAAATTCCAAAGTCTTTTTTCCTTATAGTTACATGGAAGAAATAAAGCTTTATTTTATTCCACAAAAGAAAGCTGTATTGTGTAAATGATGATTAAACTTTTATTTTATTTGGGGGATTTATCACTTTAAGTCAAGCCTGTAATTATGTGTGTATGTGGGTGGAACAGAATTGAGTACTAACTCTATTTTAAAAACAAAAAAAATGCTGGATTTTTGTAACCCAACATTAGGTCAAAAATGGACAAACCCAACTTTGGGTTAATTTTCAAATTCGAATTATATTACACTTTCTCAATATTTGACCCAATGTTGGGGTAAAACAAGCATCTCAAAGTGTGCACACATTCACGCTTATTTGTAAAAGCAAATGTTTTCTTGTGCTATCATTGAGGAATAACATGAATTAAGTAAATGATAACATTTATTTTTTTTACTCAAAAAGACAACATTTTTGGAAAAGACTGAAGTTTTCGATACTACGTTTCAACCCAAATTTAGATAAAAATATAGATAATCCCACCTGTGTGGTTTAAAAATTTATGTAACAAATAACAACCCAATGGTAGGCGAGTTTGTCTATAGATATATACACTAGATACCTCATACGGAGCCTGAGCATGTGTCAATAGTGCCGCCACATTTGTACAGTGCTCCCAAAACAAACGTCTTGGCACTAGCCAAGACTAAAGCCAATATGAAGATGCTGAACTTTAGCGCTGGACTTTAGCGGGTGTAGTAATGAGCAAACAAAGCATAAAGGCAGAACATTTCATAGGTAAGATTTCGTTTTCTATGTTTTTGTATGTTATGAACTTTTGTGCTCAACAAGTAACGTTATTGATGAAAAAACATCTGACCATAAGGTAAAATACCACCAACTTGCACTAAATACCAGCCTTATGCTAGTTTTGTTGAATAAAATAAGCAAACTATGTAAATCAAATATGACAACAATATGCTGCGATGCTACAAACTTGTATTATTGTCGGCTAATTGAACGAGTCGTTCACGATGGAGATTCATTCACAAAAGAATCGCTCCCGTTAGAATGAGAAGTGAAAGCAGGATTAAATCAAATTTAACAGGGAGGGTGAATAATACATTTCCATGCACACAAACACTCACTCTTTGTCTTATCAATCGATGTAGAAAAGTGATGTAAAATTATATTTTTTGTAATTTAAAAAAAAATATTTGCATACCGACCACCGGGAAAACTCCTGATCATAGATAGATGTATAAATGTGTAGATATATCTGGCTCACGATGGCCAGTTCTCCACTGCACCTTAGTCCCACATTCATTTCAAAGGAGCGCTACCCTGTACTAAAATGGCGGCTCTATTGACACATTCCTTCCACTAGACAACAATAGCTTAGCCAAAATCTAATGTAAATATCTACAGAGTTTGTCTATATTTTACCCAAGTTAGCTTTGAAATACTGAGATTGAGACTTTTGACATGTTAATTGTAAATTCAATATTGGTTACAAAATTGGGCAATTTATAATCATTGGAGGGGGATTTGTCCATCTCAGTGTCTAGGAGTTACAGCCATCTTTATATATGTTGTTGTTTGTCTAATTTTTTAGATTATTATATTATGTTTTCACCTGCCTCTGTTTTAAGGATGGAGACATTGCAGCAGGAGGAGGTTCTGAAAATCCAGGAGGTTCAGACAATTCAGGGGATGATGATGAAGATGACAGTGATGAAGAGAGTGATGATGACGATGACGACGATGATGATGATGACGACGATGATGATGAAAATGAAGATGAAGCTGGGGAAGATGGAGATGAACCGTTGTCTTTAGAGTGGCCGGACACCAGACGTAAACAGGCCACGTATTTGTTTTTGCTGCCCATTGTCTTTCCACTGTGGCTGACCGTTCCAGATGTCAGAAACCCTGTGAGAACCAAAACCAAATCACTTCAGCTTTAATTTTATTTGTTCTTCTTTTTATATTATGCTATTGTACGTTACAGGCATCCAAGAAGTTCTTCGTCATTACCTTTCTTGGCTCAATAGTGTGGATTGCTATATTTTCCTATCTGATGGTGTGGTGGGCACATCAGGTCAGTTGCGCCTGCTTTTAAAAAAAAAAAAGGTTTTTGAAAAGGCACAATATGTCAGATTTTTTCATTAATATATCCAAAAACGACCATAACAGTGTTGTATATTTAGCTGATTTATGGGCTAACATTATCACAGATGTTTTAAAGAATGTTCAAACAAGCAATTCCTCAATTTTTCTGTTTGGTTTTAGAGAAAACCGGGAAGCATAGCATTAATATATTGTGTGTTTTCTCTGCTTCTTCTTCAAATATTGATTTCAAATATTTTCCCCAGTGTCTTCTCATAATTCCAAAAAGGTTTAGAGGCAGGTGATTATCTAATGCTGGTTGAGTTAAGAATAAAAATGTAGATAAGGTTTCCTCATTATATTGTTTGAGATACATACAGTTGAAGTCAGAATTATTAGCCCTCCTGTTTATTTTTTTTCCAACACATTTCTAAAGATAGTAGTTTTAATAACTTATTTCTAATAACTGATTTATTTTATCTTTGCTATGATGACAGTACATAATATTTGACTAGATATTTTTCAAGACACTTCTATACAGCTTAAAGTGACATTTAAAGCCCTAACTAGGTTAATTAGGTTAACAAGGCAGGTTAGGGTAATTAGGCAAGTAATTGTATAACGATGGATTGTTCTTTGACTATCAAAAATATAGCTTAAAGGGGCGAATATTTTGACCTCAAAATGGTTTTTAAAATATTAATAACTGCTTTTATTCTAGCCGAAATGACCAGATAAACCAAAAGTAGATTACTGTGGCATAAGAAAAGCTCCACTGCTTTCATGGCGTGTCTCTCATCAGCAATAGCTTCAAGGGTCTCATTTTGCTTCTGACTTCAACACTTTAGCTTATCCATGAACATGATTTCTGCAGGATTCCTGTAGGATGTAATAAAGTCGACAAATCCCAAGATTCCACACTCAAACTATGCCTTTGTTTGTTGTGAACATGCACCCTCTAGTGGCGAAAATAACAAATTGTGCCTTAAAATATAGTTTTGTTACCAAACAAATCAAGTTATCAAAGATTTTCTCTTATAGGTTGGCGAGACCATTGGCATCTCTGAGGAGATCATGGGTCTTACTATTCTGGCTGCCGGAACATCGATTCCTGATTTAATCACCAGTGTGATTGTGGCAAGGAAAGGCTTGGGAGACATGGCTGTCTCCAGCTCTGTAGGCAGCAACATATTTGACATCACCATGGGGTAAGACAATCGAATGAAATGCTCAGTGAATCAGATGTTTGATCATGAAAATAATATGCATAAGTTTAGCTTTAATGGAGTGTGATTGATTGAACTAAATATTTTTCATCATTTACTCTGCTGTTTTGTATTTGCGTGTTGTAAGTTGACTGTCAGGGTTTGTCGATAATGAAAGACTTAAAACTGAAGCATAAATTAAGTAAAGTTAATTTGCTGAAGTAAATTTATAGACTTGTTAAAACAGCTGAGCTTGTATAGGTGGAACCCATATTTTTCCAAGTGGTGCTCGCTGCAGAGCCATTTGAGGAGAGCTGAGCTCCAGCGAGGGGGAGCTTGAGCTTGAGCTCCACCTTTTTTGCACTTCTTCTACGAGTGATGTCACTGGGGGTAGGGTTAGGAGGAGCGACAGCTCATGCTCCCCCTCGCTGGAGCTCAGCTCTCCTCAAATGGCTCTGCAGCGAGCACCCTCTCTATTTTTCTGCAGGTTGCGTAGCATCACCATTAGATGTCAACAAGTGCCCTTAATGACTGATTCTTTCACTAAATCGATTTGAGCAAGAACTCTTTTCTTCAATAACTTAATTTAGAAACAAAACATGCCTGTTGTGTCTAATCGCATATACTTCCTGAACTGGTAATCCTTTCCAATAAGCAATGCTGTTACCTGTAACATACTATTGACAAAAATTGGCAAAAAGAGAACAGAGATCCATTTTAGTTGTTGGTAAACTGTCCCTGGTGGTACTGAGTACTGAGTTTCTGTATCTTTCTGATGCAAAGCTGTTAAAGTGTTAGTTCAAAAAAAATGTTTTAATTGTGTGAATAATTCCTCACCCTCATGTCATTCTAATCCGCTGAGATCTTTATTCGTCCTTTTAACACAGATTAAGATAATTCAGATAAAATCTGAGAGTTTCTTTGATAATCACTTATATGGAAGATTTTCGTTTAATTCAAGATATTTAACGAAATCCAACCCAAATCCTTTGGTTATGTGCACTGTAAAAATGCTGGATTACACACAGTTCATTTATGTTGTCCCAACATAAATCGATTAAGTTAACTTAACAAGTTTAAGTGAATTGAACATAAAACAGTTAAGTTGTCCCAAAAAAATCAATAGTTGTCTTGTTTCAGCTCATTTAAAGGAAGTGTTCAACATCCCACACTAATTTTGAACAGTTGAATAAGTGCATAGTCTGGGTATTTAAAGTGCACTTATTTCTTTTAAAATTGTTCAGTGTGAACAACACTACGTTCAAAAAGATGACTTTTGCTGCTTGTTCGATCTACTTATTTAAAATGAGTTGACACAACAATTCTTAAGTTGTCCCCCCGCAAAAAATAAAAAAAAGTAAGATTTGTTTTCCCAGCAGGCAGACAACATTATGATGTTAATATTAGGTTAGATTTAGTTTGCCTGCATCTAAGAACAATGGTATTTTGACGACCAATAACGACGTGAAATTATGTTGATACAGTGCTGGATGCACTGTATTAGCATCATTTCACGTTGTTCTTGGACGAAAAGTATTGGAAAGTATTCGTAGCGCTTCACTTTTCCCACATTTTTAAGTCACAGTCTTATTTCAAAATGGATTAACTTCATTTATTTCCTCAAAAACGTACACACAAAACCCCATAATGACAACGTGAAAAAAGATTTTTTGAAAATGTTGCAAATTTATTAAAAATATAAAAGCTGAAAAATCACATCTACAGAAGTATTGACAGCCTTTGCCGTGAAGCTCTAAATTGAGCTCAGGTACATTCTGTTTCCACTGATCATTCTTGACATGTTTCAGCAGCTTAATTGGAGTTCACTTGTGGTTAATTCAGTTAATTGGACATGATTTGAAAGGCATACACCTGTCTATATAAGGTCCCAGGGTTGACAGTGCATGTCAAAGCACAAACCAAGCATGAAGACAAAGGAATTGTCTATCGACCTCAGAGACAGGAGAGGCAAAAGGCTGGGGAAGGTTACAGAAACATTTCTGCTGCACTGAAATTTCCAATGAGCACAGTGGCCTCCATCATCTGTAAGTGGAAGATGATTGGAATCATCAGGACTCTTCCCAGAGCTGGCCGGCCATCTAAGCTGAGTGATTGGGGGAGAAGGGAGAAGTCAGGGAGGTGATCAATAACCCGATGGTCACTCTGTCTGAGCTCCAGCATTCTTCTGTGGAGAGCCTTACAGAAGGACAACCATCTGTGCAGCAATCCACCAATCAGGCCTGTATAGTAGAGTGGCCAGACGAAAGACACTGCCTGCCTGGAATTTGTCAAAAGGCAGATTCTCTGGAGAGATCTGAAAATTGCTTAACACCGTTACTTCCTATCCAGCCTGATAGAGCTTGAGAGGTACTGCAAAGAGGAATGGGCAAAAATTCCCAAAGATAGGTGTGCCAAGCTTGTGGCATCATATTCAAAAAGACTTAAGGCTGTAATTGCTGCTAAAGGAGCATCAACAAACTATTGAGCAAAGGCTGTGAATGCTTCGGTAGATGTAATTTTTCAGCTTTTTTATTTTTAATAAATTTGCAACAATTTCAAAAAATCTTTTTTCACATTGGCATTATGGGGTATTGGTATTTGAGGAAATAAATTAATTTGATCAATTTTGCAATAAGACTTTAAATTTAAAAGAAGTAGCAAAAGTCATTTTTGAGTGCATATGTACTCCTAAATGGCATATGAGTAGATATGAGTAGAGTAGTGTGTGATTTGGGACACACCTGATAGCTAAAATGTTACTCTCCTGTTTCTGACCAGTTGCACTGTGTCATTGTCACAGGCTGCCGGTGCCCTGGCTGATGTTCTCGTTCTTCCATTCCTTTGCCCCGGTGCCCGTGAGCAGTAATGGTCTGTTCTGTGCCATCGTGCTGCTCTTCCTCATGCTCCTCTTCGTCATTATTTCCATCGCTGCCTGTAAATGGAGGATGAACAAAGTGCTGGGCTTCACCATGTTCATCCTCTACTTTGTGTTCCTGGTGCTCAGTGTCATGCTGGAGGATCGAATCATCGTGTGTCCCGTCTCCATCTGAGCTCTAATATAACATACTGGTATTTTTAAAGTGTCTCTGGACTCGCTGTGTCGACTTCTTCTGTATTACGCAAGATTGTTTTTTTGTAACAGGATGCAATAACTGGGCATAATGTATTTTGTTAAGGTGACATCACAGTTGAGTCACAGGTCCTGTCCCAAACGGCTACTATTTTTGGTATCCACTGTTTGTTGAAGGAATGGGGTATGGATTGTTGGGTGATAGACTGCATGTGGGCTAACCAGTGTAGGCTTTGCAAAAGGGCACATTGAGCCCACATACAGAGGCGCTGTTGAACACTCTTTTGAACTGTAAAATGACAAATAGGACGCCCTACTGTACTGTGGACTTAACAAACACACTACGATTATGATTGCATAATCAAAGGCCACGTCAAGTGTGCCATTTGAGACAGGGCCACGAGTGCTACATATGGAGAAATCACATTTTTCTCACATTCTCTCTCGATGATTTGTAAGTGCAAACTTTAAAATATCTGTTTATTAAGGGTTGCCTGTAGGTTGGGATATATGGGTGTTTTCATCTAATTTACACTTTTGAATTGACCCTCTTGCTGGAGTTTGATTGACATGCAATCTTGCCAATCAATCAATCAATCAATCAATCAATCAATCAATCAATCAATCAATCAATCAATCAATCAATCAATCAGTGCCTGCACCACTGTCCACCATTATGTCCGACAAACAAAACAGTCTGACAAACCAAGTGTAGTAGAGTAAGATCTGCGATTAACATGAACAAGGATGAAAACTTGCTTCTACGGGACCTGCAATGCAAATAGCAGGTACCCAGAAAAAAAGATCAATTCGCATACTTATATTACGCCCTAAAAGTAAGTATGTACTTTCTTTGTAAAGGAAAAGTACATACTTTTAAGAGTATAACAGGCAGCATTGTGGCTCAGTGGTAAGCACTGTCACATCACAGCAACAAGGTCACTAATTCGAGTCCCGGCTGAACCAGTTGGCATTTCTGTGTGGAGTTTGCATGTTCTCCCTGTGTTCGTGTGGGTTTTCTCCGGGTGCTCTGGTTTCTCCCAAAGTCCAATACATGTGCTATAGGTAAATTGGATGATCTAAATTGGTGTGTGTGTGAATGTGAGAGTGTATGGGTGTTTCCCAGTACTGGGTTGTGGCTGGCAGGGCATCGGCTTCGTAAAACATATGCTATAATAGTTGGCGGTTCATTCCGCTATGCCGACCCCCTGATAAATATGGGACTACGCTGAAGGAAAATGAATGTATATGTTATGTATATTAGGCCCTCTTTAGGTTACACGTCGACACTCTAACCCAGTGGTCACCAAACTTGTTCCTGGAGGGCCGGTGTCCTGCAGATTTTAGCTCCAACCCTAATCAAACACACCTGAACAAGCTAATCAAGCTCTTACCAGGTATACTTGAAACATCCAGGCAGGTGTGTTGAGGCAAGTTGGAGCTAAACCCTGCAGGGACACCGGCCCTCCAGGACCAGGATTGGTGACCCCTGCTCTAACCTATTCAAACACACCTGATCCAACTAATCAAGGTGTTTAGGACTTCTCTTGAACACCTCGATTAGCTGAATCAGCTGTGTTAGAATAGGGTTGGAGCAAAACTGCAGAGCTGCGGCCCTTCAGGATTTAAGTTTGAGATCTATGCTCTAACCATTAGGCTGCGTAACTTTTCTTTTTGTAAACTACTCATGACATTTCTTCCAAATTTAAATACATTTTTATACTACCATATAGACAACAGAGTAGCTTTTTTGTTACTTCAGAAGGCTAAAGAAGTTGATATTTTGTGGAATATCCCTGATTTTCCAAATAATTAAAAAAATGTGCTATTCTGACCTACTGTCATGCTGCTCTGAAATAAAATGGTCCATTTTATCAGAGCTTTACAGAATAACCCACACATTAACCTGCGAACCACAAGCTACAGGGCACTCTTCATTAACAGATATATTTACATGGGATTTAATACTATTGGAATATTTAATACTATTGTACAAAGTAACACTGTAAACACAATGTTGCTTTAATTTTGTCCATCGACAAAAGATTGCATTTTACAACATATAAGTTTTTTTTTTGATGATTTTTTTTATTATCATAAGTGTATTATTTGATGTTGTGGGTTCACTGATAGCTATAGTTCTTTTGTAACAGTGTCTGCAGAGTTGACTACATCAGGAGAAACGATGAGCTTATTGTAAATGATGTAATTTATTCACAATCTGCAATGGACTTATTTTTGTAACACGGAAAAGGATATCATTAGCAGGCATTTTTAAAAGCAGATCTTGTGCTGTATGTAAAGTACATTTCTTTTTTTCTCATAGACTCTCATAGACAAAAATTCTAATGTAATCAGTAATGAATCTGCATACCAATCTCACTCTGGTGTTTGAATTCACTACTGAATAGACACAAGGATAGCTATTTTTTTGTTTTTATGAATGTCACACGTCATGTTGTTGTAAATATATTTACTTGTTGGTTCGACGCAAAATTAAATGGGGTTTTCAAATGTGAAACAAATCAGAAACACAAACATACTGTGGTTGACTTAGGTGTATTTATTTATATACATTTCTAAACAATTTCACAGATCTGGCTCAGATCTGACAAAAATGATATATACAAGTATAAATAGAAGTAACAAAAGGAGTGATATGTAAAGCACATTGCCCTAACATTAAATCATTTATCAAAAAAAAAAAAAACGGCAAAAATGAACCACATTAACCGTGTTCGCTTGCTTCACTATCATGTCATACAGACGTAAAAAGCAGGTGATAGAAAAACTGCTAAAACATTAACAGCAGTATAATTTCATTGTGTATTTTTGTAGTTTTACACAGCATCAGGTCGATTTCATTTTTGTACCAAAACATTTAGGGCAGTATTATGTTTTTCTCCGCACGAGGCATTACTATCACTGTCATCATCGTGTGTAATTACATGTATTATCGTTTTCATAATCCACACGCTTGTCAGGAGTGCTTAAATCCTCTTTTCAACCACACAGACTCAAAGTGCAACTTCATAGTTAACATCATGATTCAAAAAATGAACAGTATTGAAATATTCCAGTTATTACAAATGCCTGCTTCTGCCATGGTATTAAATAGGTACATGCAACTCTTGTATTTTTATACTGAATAATAATGACTTCTTTCCTTGCAGTTTCAGAATTGTGAGAATTGTGAGTTTAAGATATGAACTCTGAATCGCAAGAAGAAAGAATCTGGGTTTATTTTATTGCACTTTATAGACTTTCTAGTCATTTTTTCTTAAAATTGTGAAACATGAACTTGCAATTGGAAGATATCAGTCACAGTTCTGAGAATGTACAGATGTTTCAGCCTGATCTCATGAGGAAACGTAACTTTAATAACGTTTTGTCAGTATGGTGTCTAATTAGTACGAATTTGTATGAGTTCAGTGGTACAAAAATTAATAATGTAAAAAAAGGAGGCATGGCACCCAACCCAGCCACTAAACCCAACCGTCATTGGGGGATGAGCAAATCGTACTAAATTGTACGTATGAGATCATACAAACTCATACAAATTAGCCACTACATTAAAAAGTTACAAATTACCTTAAGTTAGCTTTGGCAAATCGGTAACACTTAGTTTTAAGTCACAATTTATGCTATACCTGACTATTATTAAGATATTAACTGTTTATTTGTAGTTATAAAGTATGATCATATTCTGCATCCCAAAACCTAAACCCTAAACCCAACCTCGACAACTATAAATAAACTGCTAATTAGTTTATTAAGCAAGTAGTGTTAGTTAATCGTTTGTTAACATCATGAAGTGTGACCTAAACTAAAGTGTACTGTTAAGGCTAAATTACACACAAAGAAAAGCTATAATTCAGTGAGAAAAGGTCTGAATTGTGGTTATGTAAAGTCTTCATTTTTAATGTAATTTTATTTTAGGTTAATTTTATAGCAACTTCTCTGTTCATATAGAACTGAAAAATATGAACTTGCAACATTTGTGTTTGAACTTCCATTAAAGAAATAAACAATTGTGAGTTTAGATTGCGAGTAAAAAAACAGAATCTTGAGAACTCCCAACTGACATAATAATGTCACAATTACCTTTCTAAATGAACTCAGGCTCATTCTGAAAACGTATCGCTGTATACATTTCTGGAGAAAGCAAAATACGTCCAAGGAGCTACGTTTTTTTTTTTTTTTTTCATTTTTGTTTTCGTGAATCCACCAGAGGTCGCTGTGTATGCTTTTAGAGATTTCAAAATTCTCTCGCAAGTGCCATTCGTGCCTGCTGTACTTACATTAATCCACCAGAGGCCGCTGTCGACCGATCAAAGCCCCCACCTACCCCGTTTCCTAAACTCAACCGATAGTGTTTTCAAAAGCAGTGGTTGACCCGCCCACCTACTTCCCTAAACCCAACCGACAGTGTTAAAAAGCAATCCAAAAAAAGAAAAGCCCTCGCCTGATTTTTTACCACATTCTCACCCTGTTATTTACTTGTTTATTTTATTTTTTTGGCTTCTGTTTTTATCTTATCCACTCTCTGAAACCGTTCTTCGGCAGACTCGAACCCCATCGACATGGTGAGCTAACTGAACAAACTGGTAACAGTGGGAAATCCGTCTATATGGAGGTAAGCGGTCAGCTGGTAAGCGCAAAAAGGAACGGTGCCATACCGCCCCATAGCATTCGTTTTAAAGATGAAATCTACATTCCTCAGGCTACATAGTTCCTGCTCTCCAAAAATGTATATAGGGTTACGTTTTCAGAATGAGCCTGTGTTGTAAATTACATACACAAAAAAATTTACAATTAAGAGAATTTATTTATTTCTAGTGAGAAGAGTCTGAATTGTGATATGTAAAGTCTTCATTTTTAATGAAGTATATTTATTTACAGCAACTGTGTGTTCATATAGAATTGAAAAAAAGGAACTTGTGTTGAAAAGACATAATAATGTCGCAATTACCTTTTTAAATCCATGCCAGAAACACGTTTCCATTAGTTATTACATGTCACACAATTAATTTAAGTGTTTGTATGCTTCAGGTACTTCATTTTTTATGTCTCTTACACAATACTTTGCATGATACAAAGAAGAATGAACTAAAATCAAGTACCTTCATGGCAAACACACTGGATTATGTAGGTGGGTGTATAATGCTGACTATATATTCATAATAACAGTCCACTGATTCTTTAAACGTCTCTATACTACTCGTTATACCCTGTTGGAAATGAAACTCCATAATCCATACAGCTCTTCGCCCCAAGGTAAGGCATTTCTCAGTTCAAATCACCATCAAACACACTCCTCAACATGTAAACCGTGAGTCCGAGTTTATATTTGGTCCAGTTCAGTACCTCAAGACGACAGTGTCACCGACGGTCACCACACGGCTGGTCTCCAGGACCAGGACGACAAAAAAACAAAACCGACACGTTACCGACAGCATATATATAGTCTTTACAAATGGACACACGTCGATTATAGCAAATTCCAGTTTTAAAATATAACTGTATAATACAAATATTTAAAATAATAAGACGTTTGTACACAAAGTCTCCTGCGTGTGAAATATACAAGACGTTTTTTTTTTTTTGTGTTTGCGCTCATTGTGCTTCCTAAGCGTGATGGACTTTGATTGTTCTACAGCTACTGGTCCCAATTTCACCCCGCCATTCGCTCGAAGTGGGTGGAAATGACCCGAGCACATTGATATTGCTCCTAATCTACACATTTCTGTAGCGTTTTTACAATGTGGATTGTGTCAAAGCAGCAAATGATTCTCTGAACTCAAGTTTACCTGAGCGGCGCAGGGCGATTTCGATTCGACGTCAACTTTGAGACATTAGCAGACGGAAGAGTTAAAGGAGGGGGGGAAATGTGATGGTTGATTATATAAAGTGTCCATTAGATGGAGAACAGTCAGATTGACAGAAAGGAGATGTTTCAAAGGAGACCTCAGGAGAGCCGGAGGTAGCTTTGGTTCAGATGAAAGTGTTTCGTCTTTGGATGGTTTTCGATGCAATGGATGTGAGAATTGAATCACAGACTGGGAAGGCCGAAGGTTCGTCTGCACTCCATGACTCCAGCACTGGGTGGACGGTCACAATTGTGCGTCATCTTGACCTGGCTGGGTGTCAAACGGTCGTACGCTGTTTTGTATTCACGGTCGAATGCATCTAAATATAAATAAGGAAAGATGATAGGAAGAGTTTGGGGTTAGGGAATATTTTTTAAGTTTTAAAATCAACAATGCAGCTTTTACCTGACCAAAGGTCTTATTAAGCGAAGTTCTGAATTAATTTAGAGAGGAGGACGTAATATGATTGATCGTGGCTGTTTCCCCATCAGTAATCATTAGCAAGCCAATCGGAGCATTACAAACTCAACATAAATATCCTGCCTAACTTTAACCCTTTATTTTTATATTTATTTTTATATAACTTCTAGGTGAACTATCGCTTAATATACCAAAAGAACAGCATGTTTTGACAAACTCTTGTAACAATTGAAAATCTTTGTTGTGGAGTTTGACCAATTTAATCCTAATAATGAATAATATGTAATCATTTCATTCAGATTTAACAAATAAATAATGTAATATTTCCTTAAATAAAACAACATTTTATTTCAACAGCAAACTTACAAAGTGAATTTTTTTTGATTTCTTGTTTATTTTTTAAATAAACCATTATCATTATGTTATTATTAAATTTATTAATTAGTAAATAAATTTTACACCATTTAAAATTATACATGAACACCAAAAAATATTCTGCAATTTTCTTTTCAACATGAATAGAAATTGTATTTGAATGCATTTAAAATACCATGTCAATCGCTCTATTTTACTTTTGGAATGTGTTTCCCCTTATGCAAATCTTTTGTCCCATTTAAGTTCAATTATTTGAACTTGTGTGGTACAAACGACTGAGGCGAGTTCGCAACAAACACATTACACATTCCACGTCATTTGTTTTGCACAGTGATAATTCGTCTGTAAGCACGTGTAATTTACTCATGTGAACGCTTTGGTGTAAACCCAGCATTAGAATCTGAATGAAAAATAAAATAAGTGATCATAATAATCAATTTCATGCTTACCGATATTTATGCTACTCTTTCCCAAAGCCACTAAAGATAGAAACAGGATGTCTCTATACAAACTCCTGCAGATGAAAAATAAAGAAATGAGTTATCAATATTAGCTTGTCAAGACCTGTGTTTCTAAACATGTAAAGCAGAGGTTTGTTTCTCATACCGCTGTCTGCTGAAGCCCAGCCTGGAGCCCAGCAGCTGCAGTATGAGACTCATGGGCTGATAGACATCGTTCTTCTGGATGTTCTTCACCAGCGTCTGTAGCAGCTCCAGACTTACAGCCTGCTCATCCTCATTAAGACTAGAAGACACTGCAGTGCTTAAACCTACAAACAAATAAATAAAGATCAAGTCATTATCATGTAGATGGATAATACTTGTGTATTTTGGTCATACAAAAGTACTGAGTCCTAAATTGCTTTAATATATTTAGTGATTTTTCTAAATAAGTTTTTTGATTGTTGCCTTTATTATTGATTACTGGGCATAAGTGATATTGTCAACTAAAACTAAAATGTAATGTTTAAAAATAAAATATAGTCAGTCATTTAAATAGAGCTTAAATAGAAATATTAGATGGAAGCTGAGAACAAAACTGAAACAAGTACATTTAAATTTCCAAAGGAACTGAAACAAAATATATTAATACTGGTAAATCTTTAAGGTTGTATTAGTTCTAGTTTTCACAACTTAACGTTTCAAGTTCACATAACTATTTTTTTCTAGTTACAGCAACTTAATTTTTCAAATTACGGCATCTTAATTGATTTAGTTCAAATAACTTAATTTTTCTAGTTACTGCAACTTATTTTTTAGTTAAAATATTTTTTTTCTAGTTCAAATAACTATTTTCTTCTAGCTACAGCAACTTATTTTTCTAGTTATGCCATCTTTATTGTTCTAGTTCAGATTTTTCTAGTTACTGCCACTTAATTTATCTAGTTCAAATAACAACATTTTGTTTCACTTAATGTAATAATTTATTTTTTCAAGTTACTGCAACCTATTTTGTCAAGTTATGGCACCTTAATTGTTGTAGTTCAAATAACTTAATTAATCTAGTTACTGCACTTTATTTTTTTCTAGTTATGCCATCTTAATTGTTCTAGTTCAAATAGCTTACTTTTTCTAGTTACTGCAACTTAATTTAACTAAATCAAATAACAAAAATTTTGTTCTAATTAATGTCACTTTTTTTTCTAGTTACAGCAATGTTACTTTTCAAGTTGTGGCATCTTAATTGTTCAACTTCAAAAACATTATTTTTCTAGTTATTGCAACCTAATTTTTCAAGTTGTGGCATCTTAATTGATCTAGTTCAAATAACTTAATTTTTCAATTTACTGCAACTCATTTTGGTTCAAATAACTATTTTTTCTAGTTCACAAACCTATTTCTTCTAGCTACAGAAACTTTATTTTTTCTAGTTCAAATAACTTAATTTTTCTAGCTACTGAAACTTAATTTTTCAAGTTATAATTGAATTTTAAAAGCAGAATTGCTGTGAAATGTCTGTAAATTTAACAAAACTAATGTCCCACTTTAGCTTAAGCACCAGTTCTCATTATTAAACGTTGACTTATTAACAGTCCATTATTAAGATATTGACTGTTTACTTGTACTTAAAAAGTAGATACCTTATTCTGCATCCCTAATCCTACCCAATACCTAAACCCAATTACATTAAAATCAATAATAATAAACAGCAAAATAGGAGTTTATTGAGCTTTTAACCAACATTAAGTCATAGTTAATGTTAGATATAGTGAGAATTGTACCTTAAAATAAAGTGTGACAAGAGCTTAATAGTAAAACTACTAAAATAATAGCTACAATAGAATATAGATAATAATATTAACATTAAGAAAAATAATAACTGATTTTGCAGTTAACACATTAACACTCATAAACCTCACTTTTCACTGTGTCATGGATTTTGTAGGAAATACTCTTACAATATGATTTCCAGAGCAGGTAGCAAGGCTGAATGTGATCCTGGTGCAGTCTGGGATTGTCCCACAGGATCTGGACCAACACGTTCTTACTGTCTTCTGAAGCACAACTTTGCTGAGACTGCTGAGAGAAAAAAAAACAAACATAAATAACATTAACCCAATGCAAATAACATCACCAGCACTTTACACATCACCAACACCAACATATAACCACAAAGACATCACGTTACTCTTGAAAGACTCACTGGAGTATCTCTGCAGTAGTTTTTGGAGGTCAGATAGAGACCCGGGAGGCTGCTGGGAAGATCCAGGCGACGGAAAAACCACACTAGGTTCCAGAAGACGATAGGGTGATGATCCACAATGGCTGCAGAGGAGATGGCCTGATCCCCCTCATTCTCCAGCAGACTCTCCAGCTCTTTCCAGAGAACCAGAGGACTCAGGTATGGCACGGTCACTGCCTCCTACAGCACACAAACAACTAAATAACTACCAGCACAATCAACTCAACTAACAAACATAGAACTAGAATATTACATCATACTATTTTTATAAGGATGTTGCATTTAAGTCAAAAAGGTTTTCAAATGGAAATGCTGAAAGACAAACCAATATATACATTGCATTAGGGTTTACCATTTTATTATTAAATTCAGAAGTTGTGTAAAAAATTGCGAATGAAAGGAAATGTTTACAAAATATATTGCAGTTTTTAATAATGGTTTAATTCAGGTTATAAGTTTATATTATCATTTTAATTTAAATGGTTTTATATATACAGTTGTAGTCAAAATTATTATTAAACCTCCGGTTTATTTTTTTTCCCCAATTTCTGTTTAACAGGGAGAAGATTTCTTCAACACATCTCTAAACATAATAGTTTTATTAACTCATCTCTAATGACTGATTTATTTTATCTTTGTCATGATGACAGTAAATTATATTTTATACAGCTAGGACTATCGAAAAAAATAGTTTTAATAATTTTGTCCTTAAAAGGGTGTTTAAAAAATTTAAAACTTTTATTCTAGCCGAAATAAAACAAATAAGTTTCTCAAAAAAAATTATTATCAGACAAACTGTGAAAATTTCCTTGCTCTGTTAAACATATATTGGGAAATAATAATAAAAAAAAAAAGATTTCAAAGGGGGACTAATAATTCTGACTTCAACTGTATATATATTTTTTGAAACTTTTTCTTTAAGATTTCTTCAGTATATATATTTTTCCTTTTTTTCAGAACAACCCCTTCCCCAACGGTTTAACCCCTTACATATTAGAAATACATAGAAAATTATGATATTATAAAAATTCAAAATTAAAATAAGAAACAATGCAAAATAAATAAATAAATAAATGGCATTGCCATCATAATTACTTTTCAGGGGATACATTCATACATCAAGATACATTGTGTTGTGCAACATTGTAGTTACCTCAAATTACATTGGTGATGGGTTAAGTAACCTCTAAATACACATATCTAAATATGTTGTAATACTTTTCCACCTCTTCAAAAAAATATCAGCCTTCATTTGTAGACATGAAGTCATTTTTCCATGGTTTTATATTTTATTAAAAACATTTTTATTAGTATAATTTTTAATAGGTATATGTAATTTTATTCATTAAATTTTAGTTTTAAACATTGTAATTTTAAGTCAAACTAAATGAAAATTATGAATACTTTTATTAGCAAATAGCTGAAATATGTGTATATTTCTTTAATGGTTTACCATTTAAAATTTTTCAGTTAGAAATGATTTTAGTTTTATGGTTTATCCTGACTATAATAATCTTGGAACAGCACATGCATGAGTGTTTCAGCTCCTCTCATATGTATTACACCCCCCCAAAATACATTTAAAATGAAGCATTAAATCTTTGGCATTCAGAACAGCACAAAATGACAAAGAATCACTAATCTAATAAGTTCATAAGTCTAAACAAATTGAAATTACATACGTAGGGGTAATACACCGTTCAATTTAAAATCGAGCTTTCTTAGTTAGCACTAAATCAATGTTTTGTGTAATTGACATCAATTGCACTACTTAAGTAGTATCATATGTTACTTGTATTCCATAAACAACAGTAAAATGCTATTCAAATGATTGTATATATCATAATAAATATATGATAAGAACAAAACTGCTTTCCAAAACACTGAAAGGTCATGAAGTTTAAAACTGAGAAAACCATCCTTACAGGGTCTTTTTTGTCCTTGTTGGACAGAGTGCTAGAGGCATCATACACTTTTGATGGCTCATCTTCTCGTTCTGTCTGGCTAGAACTTGTATCTTGACAAGGTGATCTAAAAAATACAGAAAAAAAACAGTCTGAAAAGCTCCATATCTCTAAAGAAATATGAATTATTTTGATTTAAGACTGAATTACCTTTCTTGTTCACCCATGTTTGTGATGTCCACATTGAGCAGAGGCAGAAACGGAGAGCCGCAGAAAGGACATGTGCTGTTGAGGTTTGAGTCGTCGGCTGTCCAGCCAGCCATGATCTCTTCATCATACACCAAACTCTCACAGGTGTTGCAGCGAGAACAACTCGACATACGAACCTGAAAAATCAAAGTTAACAGTCATGCCTCCAGCTGTAGTAAACTTTATATCTCATTCAAACAGTAACACTTCAACAAACTTGTGATTCAAGTGGTAACACTTCAAGAAATGTGTATTTTAAATAGAAATACTTTAGCCACCATCAAACACAATAGAATACACGAGACGTGTCAGTCATTTAGTTTTGAATGGTGAAAAGTGTAATGGTTAATATGGCGAATGAAGGCCTTACATGACTTGCCTGAAAGGGACTTTGCTAACATGTCAGTCAGACAGTAAACCTTCAACAAACATGACATTCATGTCATTCCAATGAAATACATCAACAATTGTGACATTCGAAGTGAAATACTTTTAAATGTTACGTTTGTAGAAGTATTTGCATTTAAATGACATGTTTGTCAATCAATTTTTATTCGATTGTCATATTTGTTGAAGTATTTCAATTCAAATGCCACGATTGTTGACGTATTTTCATTCGAATGACATGTTCGTCAAAGTATTTCTATTTGCTTGCCACATTTGTGGAAGTATTTCAATTCGAATGTCTTGATTGTTGAAGAGATGCTTTTACAAGCATAACATTTGAAAAGATATCCTTCAACAAATGTGTCATTCGAATGGAAATACTTCAACTAACGTGACATTTAAATAAAAAAATACTTCAACAAACGTGAGATTCGAATGGTAATACTGTATTTCTACAAACATGACATTCGAATGGAAATACTTCAACAAACGTGACATTTGAATGGTAATACTTCTACAAACATAACATTCGAATGGTAATACTTCAACAAATGTGACATTTGAATGGTAATACTTCTACAAACGTAACATTCGAATTGAAATACTTCCACAAACATGACATTCGAATGGAAATACATCAACAAACGCAACATTCGAACGGAAATGCTTCAAAAAATTTGACATTCGAATGGTAATACTGTATTTCTACAAACGTGACATTCGAATGGAAACAATTTAACAAACGTAACATTGAAATAGAAATACTTCAACAAACATGACATTTGAATGGAAATACTTCAACAAACGTGACATTCGAATGAAAATACTTCAACAAACGTGACATTCAAATGGTAATACTTCAACAAACGTGACCTTCAAAATGGTAAGGCTTCAAAAAACGTGACATTCAAATGGTAATACTTCAACAAACGTAACATTCGAATTGAAATACTTCCACAGAAATGACATTCGAATGGTAATACTTTAACAAACATGTCATTTAGACAATAAAACTTAACCAAAACGCTTCATTTGAATAGAAATACGTCAACAAATGAGACATTTAAACAGAAATACTTCAACAAAAGTGACATTCAAATGTAAATACTTGAAGAAAATGTGTCATTCGAATGGTAATCCTTCAACATATGTGGCATTTGCTAAGTGAAACTTCATCAAACAATTGAACAGTGACAGTAATACTTCATCAAACATGTCATTCGAACTGAAATACTTTCACAAACATGTTCTTCAAACAGTAAACCTTCAACATATGTGGTATTAAAAGTAAGAAAACTCACTTCGACAGCATAACTCTGTGTGAACTGACTGAAACTGGAATCAGAGCATGTGTCTGGAGTCTGCAGAGCTTTCATTACTGTCAGCGATGGACCTGAAGGACAAAGACAACACAACAGTCAATCTCTGCTGCAAAAGGAGCTTTGAAGAGATGATGTTTTTCATCAGACAGCAATCTTCTCCAAAAAACTAGTCACATTTCAAGGTGATTGCCTGCAGGGATTATGAATGCTAATTCTGATGGCGCTGAAAGAAGAGAGAGGCTCTACAGAAGTCTGGGATAAGAGCGTGTATGCGGATGGGAGTGATTGGGGAGCACTCAAAAAAACAACCCCGTCAGGCTGATTAAAGAGCCCCTCTCAGACCCCATTACTGCAGAGCCAGACACACTCACAGGCCTGTCTACTGGCCTACTTCTGCAGCTGCTGGAGCTGAAACAATGACCAGGCTTACAAATCACACGCGGCTCTTCAAATGCAAAAAACATGTTTAATCACCTACCCAGAGCATCATGCACGATGACCCAGAAAAAGCTGCATAGAAAGCTAATATAATCCTTTTTGCTTTTTCATTACTATGACGCTGAAATCTTAACAACTGGAATATACCAAGAATTAGTCATGAGAGAGCCTGATGGGTAATTTATTTGCCCGCTGTCTCTTTTTATCCACGTTATTCAAGGGAAACCTGAAAGATTTTGGCTGAACAGAGCGAGTTATTTAAAATGAACACTATTAGTTGGTGTAAGTGATTTCAGCTATCTTGCTTAGTTCCACCATTTTGCTCACTTCATCTTCATGTCCTTAAATCACCGTCTAGAAGGTCATGTCATACGAACAACTCTGTATTTATATTGTGTCTGATATCTACAAAGTGTGAAATTGTAAAACTATATAGCTTTCAATACATATTTATTACATTTTATTATTTCACAAAAATGTTAAATCTGTAATTATATTTATATATACAGTTAAAGTCAGAATTATTAAACCACATGAAAATATTAGCACTACTGTTTATTTCTTCCCCAATTTCTGTTTAACAGAAGAAAGATTTTTCCAACACATTTCTGCACATAATAGTTTTAATAACTCATTTTAATTACTGATTTATTATCTTTGCCATGATGACAGTAAATAATATTTGACTAGATATTTTTCCAGACACTTCTATACAGCTTAAAGTGACATTTAAAGCCTTAACTAGGTTAATTAGATTAACTTGGCAGGTTAGGGCAAATAGGCAAGTTACTTTATAACAATGATTCGTTCTGTAGACTATTGGAAATACATAGCTTAATAATAATAATAAAAAAGGGGCTAATAATTTTGACCTTAAAATGGTTTTTAAAAAATAAAAATTTTTTACTTTAGCCAAAATAAAACTCATAAGACTTTCTCCAAAAGAAAAAATGTTATCAGACAAACTGTGAAAATTTCTTTGCGCTGTTAAACATCATTTGAAAAAAATTTTTTTAAGGGGGTTTAATAATTCTGACTTCAACTGTAAATATTTATATCTATTATATAATTATAATAAGTTACTAATTTTACAAAACCAAATAATTAGCGTCAAGGCTGTCATTTTACACTGTAATAACAGTAAAAGCAATTATTTAAATATTCTCTTAATGCAACAGTTTTCAAAAACTCCCAAGAAAAATCCTAATGCAGATAAATATAGTATTTTACATTCTAGCAGCATATTTAATCTTAAATATTAAATAAATTATAAATTAAATTTATACTATCTAGGTATTTTTAGGTATTTTCTTTAACATACAGTGCTCAGAATAATTGAGTACAGCTCCTTTTGAAAATTAATATTTTTTATCTTTTTTTCAGTGAAAACATATTTCAGTGCAATATTTTAGGTGCATTTAAACAAAATAAATTTATTAAACAGTGATGTCTATTAAAATAATGGAATATAATGATAATACATGTAAACTCAAACAAATTTTTACACATAAAAGCTATTTAAACTACAAAATTTCAACAATTTTTATCTTTCTCTTGATTTCTCCTGATTTCTTTTTCTTGAGTTTTCCTGTTTATTCATTTTTCTTCAAAATATTCATTTAAGTGTACACATTTTTAAACTATGATCTTAATTTTTTTTTTTTTTTTTTGTTAGATTAGTTTCAGTTCTGGCCTTGATATTGAGTATTCTAATTTTTATGCACAATTATAATATGGTAAACCTTACAGTGTCCTATAGAATATAAAGTTTTTTAGCTGTTAGTATCCAAATTATTTGTTTTTAGGATATCTATAAGCTAGTGTGCCCCAAAACTGGGACAAATTCACATTTAGAAGATATAAAACTGATATAAACTTGAAAAGCTTGTAGGTTGTCACTTCCGCCAAAATGGACCAATTTTTTATTGTTTGTTCCTCAACACTGTCGCCACAGGCTTGCTTTGTTTGGGACTTGTAGAGCTGCGCATCGATGGATTTGCTCTTCAGAATTTGGACTTTTAGCCATGAAAATGAACCCACACTGAACTAAACTGAACTTCAACTCTGAAAACTGGACTGACATAGTTTTAATTGATAAGATCTTCTATGTTAAGCTGCTTTGACACAATCTACATTGTAAAAGTGTTATAGAAATAAAGATCAATTGAATTGAATTTTATTCACATCACCACATACTACAATTTCTCCTCACATCATAACCAATCAAATGCTCTCTAGTATCTGACATGCTCCGCCCTCTTCATGACGCTTCTCATTTGCTTTTCATTTGATGCACTTGAGCTCAACCACTCACACTGGCAAAGCGGTGATTAAATAAAACGCCATTGGATGTGTTTAAAAAAAGGGAGGAGCTACACTATGTCCCACCCTCTCTTAATGTTTCGGTTTGAGATTACGTCAAACATCGAATAAAAATGCATGCTTCAAAGCACTTCACGAGACCTTTAAACAAGATATCTGTGAGGGGTGTAATCATATATGCTGAGCACTCTACAATGATGCATCAAAAATGTATTTCATGAGTGTAGTGATCAGTGAATCCAGCAGACGTACCAGTGAGGGAGGCCTGTCGGAAGAGTCTAGGTGCCGTGGATGGGCTTTCTAGGCAGTTATTACTCCTGTGAGGGCTCTTTCTGGGCCGTGTGACGGGTTGAGCTGCATCCCTTTGTGGGGAGGAGAGCCCTTCAGGATCGACACACAGATCACTCTCAATCAAAGAGGAGCAGTCAGGGTCACCAGACCCAAGCGAGGACACACTAACCCGGTCAGAGTTTAAATCCTGATGAAATCAATAAAAACATTTTTTTTAAAAGTCAACAAAGATAACACCAGAACTAGAAATTGGCAAAAACGTACATGATACTAACAATAAAGCCTACAAATTGAAATCTGCCACTGCAATCTGGAAGTGGTTTGGTCAGTGATGTAAAAATTCAATTTGTGCAGTAAATAAATGCTCTAAATCTCTTTAAATGAACAGCTTGGTTGGTAAATACTTATTTACACATGCACTTAAGTGTTTGTTAATGGATTAGATAACACAAGCTAAAAAATAACAACACTTTTACTTTTGCAAAACTTAATCTTTGTTAATGTAAACTTGCAAATATAGTAATGTGCTAGTTAATACATTAGCTAACATGATTAAATAATGAACAATGAATAATGAGGTTCAGTATTACACAATCTACAAACAAAGTTGGAAGAACTAGGAAAATTGAGCTGGGAGAACTAGAAAACTTCAGTTGCACTAACAAGGCCAATTACATTTAGAGAATTATTAAAATTAAGTTAAATCTAAATTATGTTGAAAACTAAAAAAAATCAATAATAACAAAAAAAACTGCAACAACAATTAATATTTAACTAGAACAATTAAATAATAATAATTAGTCAAATCAAGTGGGGGCAACTAGAAATAATATGTTGGGGGCAACTAGAAATATTAAATTGTGGAAACTAGAAAATGTTTGCGTTTTGCAGTGCTTAGTTGGTTTGAGTTCTCTTCATTTATTGGGTTTCACTGTGCTCACATTGCTTTGTTTACTCAAATGGATGAAGATCACAGTACTCATTTGGATTAGCTTTTAAACTTAAATGGTTTGTTACAATCAGTTTCCTCAAACCGTTTGAGTTACCTCAACTTTTTGGGTTTTACAGTGTAGAAAAATTAAATAATAAACAATTAACAAGAACAATTAAATAATATTAATTAGTCAAATTAGGTTAATATGATGACTAGAAATATAATAGGCGCAACTAGAAAAATTAGGTTGGGGCAACTAGAAAATTAAGTTGAAAGAACAAGGAAAATTAAGCTGGGAGAACTAGAAAAATGAAGTAGGGGCAAATTTTTTTTTTTGTTAAAAACTAGAAAAATTCAATAATAACTAGAAAAAAATGTATAATAATAAACATTTAACCAGAACAAATAAATAATAATAATTAGTCATATTAAGTGGGGGCAACTAGAAATAATATATTGGGGGCAACTAGAAAATTTAAGTTCTGGCAACAAGAAAATTAAGTTGAAAATCTTGGAAAATTAAGCTGGGAGAACTAGAAAACTTAAGTTACACTAACACAACCAATTAAGAACCAGAGAAATTAAGTGGGAGCAACTTGAAAACTAGAAAAAAATCAATAATAACAAGCATTAAATTAGAATAAATATATAAATAAATAATAAGAATTAGTCAAATTAAGTGGGGGCAACTAGAAAATTTTAAGTATAATAACTAGAATAATAAGTTAAGGGCAACCAGAAAAATTAAGCTAAAAGAACTAGAAAAATGTAGTTATAAAAACCTGGGAAAATTTAGTTGGGGCAATTAGAAATATTTAGTTAGGCTAACTAGAAAAGTTAAGTTAAAATAATTGAAAAAATTAAGTTTCATTTTCCACATTCTAGTTTCCAGTATGAATACAGCAGATCCTAACTCAAGTCTTACACGTACTTGTGCAATGGACGTCTGCGAGGAAAGTCTGGAATACAATCTACTGGCTTTCTCAGCGACGCCCTTCCCAGCAGACAGGAAGCTGCTCTTGAACACATCCAGGGTCGGAGTGAGCAGAGAGTCCATAGAGAAAGATGAAGAGGAGGGGGTGGGTGATGAAGGTGAGGCCAGAGAAGTGGGCCGCTGCTCTCTGACCCTGCGCACGCGGCCCTGAGGAAGCGAGGGCGAGGAGAACAGTCGTGTTCGTGGCTGAGGCTGGAGCTGAGAGGCACTGGGGGAGCCCAGCGCTATTTTGGATATACAGGGCGAGCTGTGAGGGGACGGGGTCTGGTGGCCCTTCAGGTCCACACTGAGAGAACGCTGGCTTAACGGGCTGCTCAGGTTGTTCATGTAATGATGAATCTCCTCAGCCAGGTCCCGACGGGCACTTGGGTTGCCCGCATTATCCTCGTCCTCATGGCCGTGAGTCTCAGCTGCCATGAGGGACAGAGGATCAAACCCTGCTTCAATGCCCGTCCTCTTCACCACTCGACTGAGAGCACTATTGCAGCTCATGCTCCTCTCCACGCCAGTGTGCCCGCTCTCCATGGCAACTGTCTTCTCCATGGTAACCGTGCAGCTGGCTTTCCTCTCTACGGAAACTTTAGGTGGGCTCACGACGCCCTCCAATGCTTCTGTTTGTGTCTGTGCTACAGGTACAGAGTCTACTGGCTTATCTGGGGTTAGATCCAGTGTGTTGGGTCTTACAGGTTTCTCTCCAAAAATATCCAGGGAGTTAGGTCTTTTTGTCTTCGGAATGGTGTTGGAAAAGGCTTGACTGGATTCCTTGTTGATTTCCGGAGGATGGATTCCAGCTGCAAGGGATGAATCCTCTTTCTTTGAGAGTTCCGACTGAGATGCTGAAGATTGAAATCAGAAATAAATAACAAGGAGGCACTTGTTAAAAGCTTGAGATCAAAAAGCAGTTTAATGATTTTGTGGTGCCACAGTTTACCACTAGGTGGAAGCAAAGAGGTGTTCATGGCATCTTACAATGGGAAGCAAATTCTGGTGTACTGTTTACTGGCTGTATTATGCTGCATTACCTCTCATTTAAATAAACTGAATACAAACTCAAGGGCTATTGTTTAAGTATTGTTTATATCACACATTATATCAATCCTTTAAGCTAAGCTTTTTAAAACTGTCAGTGCACCACAGTCTTGGACATTTTAATGACTCATTAAAGATGAATCACTGTCTGAACATTTTGCGCTTGATCGTGATCTGTATGGTCATGGCTAAAGGCAATAAGGCAGCCCTAAACAAGTAGATTTGATTTAATTTCTAATATGCATTCATGTGTTAATCATGAAATGACTATGAACAATATTTTGCACATCATTCATCTGCAAATATACGATTGTTCCTATTTAATTAATTTTTATCATAATAAATTATTTAATTTTGATAAACAAAAACAACATTCATTTATTATTAATTCCTTTATATAATAGTTATCTTACTAACCTCCAAACATTTGAGTGGTAGTGTAATCTATCTGAGAAATTCATATTTTTAATAGAAAGCTATACAATATTATATTTGTACATATATATTAGTTTAGTCAGTACTGAAGACAAATCTGGAGCTTATCTAACAAAATAACTTACGATAACGGTCCAAAAACTAGTACAGCCAAATTTATGTTATAGAAAAATATTAAATACAAATTAAAAAAAGAGGAAAAATCAAGAGAAGCAAAAAAAATAAAAAATAAAAAAATTCGATGAAAATTTTGTAGGTTGTAATGTTTTTTTGCAATATTGTGCTTGAATTTAATTGTAATATCTTTCAATTTCTAAATATGTTTGGAGACTAAAATATAATTTTAATAGATATATCTGTTTAATAAATCTGCTTTGATTAAATGCACCAAAAACATTGCCTATATTTACTAAGAAATGGATACAAATATTCATTTTCAAAATGGGCTGTTCTCAATTATGCTAAGCACTGTTCAAAAAAATTTGAGTGGTTGATTCCAATGCAGAGACAAAATGACGGCAAGAAAATTTACATTATTTGATTTACATTATTTGTAAGTTTAAGGTGGTCAGAATTCTGTGTTACTCACATGGACAAGAGTCACTGTCCTTCTTCTCCTTGATGTCTGGAGAGGAGTTCTGCTCTTCACCTCCTCCAAACCTCACCTCCTCTTTAGACAGAGAGTCGTAGCCCTGATCAGACTGACCCCCTAAAAAAGAAAATACCGGTTTGTTTGAAAATGCAAATTTTACAATGGAAACAAATGCACAAAACGCATTCAGTGAGTGTTAAGATTTAGCATTTAGAACAGCCGTTTGCTTGTTATCCCCACTTTTTGAGACAATTCACAACAAAGCACTTTGTAACAGAGATATGGAAAACAACCGTCTTTATTAAATATTCATGTCAGAAAGATGTCTTCTTCTTCCTTTTTTATATACAGATTTGCCATACAAATCTGTATATAAATACAGTGGAGATCAAAATTAGAGAACAACAGATTTTTAACATTCTGAGATCACTGCATGGTCTTATTTGCAGTTATTTTAACAGGAGTTAAACAGCTTATATAAGGGTAGTTTACTTTAGTTTCATTTATGTTGGTCTAGTAGTACCAATTATGTTCATCAATCTAGGGAAAGGATAAAAAAAAGCTTTCCATTTCTTTTTATTTTCTGCCTAAAGTAAAATTGTTGTTTTAATTTATCTACATACAGCAGTCTTTGCTGTTCCCTTATTTTGATCACAGTTTTTCTTTGGTAAGCCAAACTAAAAAAGTCTTTTGTATCTTAAAATATGAACACTATATTATTTATAAAAAAATGTTAAGAAATGATTTTAAAATCTTGATCTCGGCTTTATTTCCTATGTGATTTAATTTGATAGATTTGATAGAGGCTCTTAGAAAGAGATTCAAACCAAGATAATCCAGAATTTCTCATAATAACACATGACGATAATACAACATAAAAAAAGCATTCATTTACTGTGTGGTATACTTTAATGAAACAGAGCCACACTGACAGACACTCACAGTTGCTGCTGCTGAGAAAGCTGATAGAGCATAAAGCTCACATCACAGTACTCCCTCCAGAGGTAAACTAAAATAACACTGTTACTCATTCCTTCTTCCTCAGTCTTGCTCCAGCACTGTCTGCGAGCGCTTGTAACTGCGAGTCTCTTCTGTCAAATCGCACATCTCTCAGATCTCCTGCATGGGCAGCACCGCCTATAGCTTAACAATTCTTCAAAAAGCTCTTCTAACATGCAGTGAGGCTTTCATTTTTTGTCTTTTAACATATTCTCAGATATGAGTGTCATGCACCTACTGCAGTCCTGCTTGTTTCTCATTTCATACGGGACTTGAAGCTATTATGAAAAATGTCAGTTATTTTGTCTTTGTGCTGGAAGTTAATTAGATAGTTAACACAAAACATGAAAGTCTCCTCACCGTTTGCCTACACTCAATTGCTTACAATCAGCTTTTTATGAATTCCATCTTCTGTTGAACACAATGGAAGATAAACTGAAGAATGTATATTTGTTCCAACTATAGATGTCAATGGCTGCTTTTTTATTTTTATTTCTTCAAAATATTTTCTTTAGTTTTCAACAGAAAAAAGAAATTTATTAAAGTTTTGAACTATCCGAGTACGAGGAAATAGTGAGGAAATGTTTATTTTTGGGTTATCTATTCCTTTAATTGGGTTTACTGAAACACTTTCAGTCTAAAAACTCTTCTGTCTTAAAATTAAAAATCCGGAATCAGAAATAATCCTGTGAATACGATATACAAGTATTTATGTTCAAAAGTTTGGGAGGTACATACAAAGTCCCTTTATAGCAAATAATTTCACTGAGATGTGCTTCTTATGACTGCGAGACAGGTATTCGTGAAGATTCCAGAGCGTTTGTTGACCCCAGAGGGTTTATAACAATGAAACAGCAGAAACTGTCATAAAAAAACAAACATCTGGACCAAACCCTCCCCCTGAGAATCTCTGGCTCTGCTGTTATTTAGATTGCTATAGAGACAGAGTGCATTTAGACCATGCCCCCACTAGGGGTAAAACAACTCGCTCTTTAGACCCTTTTCACACTTCCTGGTTTCTAAGTGGTGGAAGTCGTCATAGTTGGGAACACTAAGAGCACAGTGAATGGGAGAGTACAACAAATACATTTTTACAATCTTATTTGATGAAATAAGCATTTGCTGAAAAACTCCACAATGGTGTTATCGAGACTTTCAGAAAAAGGTGAAAAATAGTGTGAGACTGATGATGGCAGCCAGGGGAGAGAATAACGTCACATAGACGCTGCATTAAAAAAGTGGTAATTCGTTTTTTGTCATTTGAAGCAAAGATGATATAATACATACAGAAATACAAATAAATGTTGTTGTTTTTTTTTTATCTAAAAATTAAAAACTTTCAAGGATAAAATTGTTAAATGCATTAGAACAGGCTTGTGAAAAAAGTCTATTGACTTATTCTATTACATGAGGGTGCCTTCTTGTCCTTTAAAACCAGAATACATTTTTTTTAACCTTTCGACCCGCCAAAAAACAAGTGTTAAGGACACAAAAGCAGAGTGCAATGTCTCATATTAGAAAACTAAGGTTCTGCTCAGTGAGGGGAAATGTAAACAGAAACATTTATCACCATGCCTATAAGCTGTTGTGTGACAGGGTGCACAACAAACAAAATAAAATTCAGAACTAAGTTTTTACAAGCTTTCAAGTCGTAAAAAAAGCCATCCTTTTAGGAGACAGAAGTGTATACTTGGACCCATTCCTAATTCTACCCCTTAGCCCTTACCCTTACCCGTTCAAGTGAAGGGGTCGGGGTGTCCTAATTCTCTTTAGCTTGAAGGTGTAGGGCAGTGGTCACCAAACTTGTTCCTGGAGGGCCGGTGTCCTGCAGATTTTAGCTCCAACCCTAATCAAATACACCTGAACAAGCTAATCAAGGTCTTACTAAGTATACTTGAATCATCCAGGCAGGTGTGTTGAGGCAAGTTGGAGCTAAACCCTGCAGGGAAACCAGCCCTTTAGGACCGAGATTGGTGACCCCTGGTGTAGGGCTAAGAGGAAGGGCTAGATACCCCTTCAAACAGAGATTTTTCAGGAACACACTTGAAACCAAGGGCTGAGAAAATGTTGCAGAATACACCAGCTACAACAGCAGAATGGCTGCACATGGAAGTCAGGAGATGCCCAAATTAGTATTTTTTTGTCATTATTCTGAATTTTTACAACAAATAGGCACATATTTTAAATATAATACGGTTATGCTTAAAAAAAAAACACTAAAATAAACACCGGTTAACTTCGCTATCCATAATCCATAATAATAACTTCTGTATAGTAGTCCCACAACATTTTGTCACTTGATGACACTCGAAAACCCTGTCAGAAATGTCTAGTGACTGGGAATGACCTAGGGGTACAAAAAATGGAATTGGGATTAGGCCATTAATTTGTCGCCATTTACATTTCCACATTAGCTCTCTGATGTGAGAAGATGCACTCTGCTTTTCTGCTCTTAAACACTATTTTTTTGGGGTTGACAGGATTTAAAAATTTGGTTTTGTAATTTTTAGCTTGTCTGCTTTACATTCGGTCACTTTATATTCATCAGAAAGGACAAGGAATCACCCTCCCGCAACAGAAAGTTAATGGAGCAAGTTAGAAGGCAACTTGCGATTATGACGTGTTGCATTGTGTCTCTATAATAATGTGCAAAAAAAAGCCCCACCCCCTACTCAATATTCTGTTTCAGTTGGAAGTACATCAACATACAGCAATAAAAGTCCCAACAACTATCAGTTCATGAGGACTTTAAAGCCCACAACAGTTATTTTGTAACATTACTTTTTAATATAATATTTCTATTTTGACTGTTTTTCTGGGTGGCATGGTGGTTCAGTGGTTAGCACTGTCACCTCACAGCAAGAAGGTCACTGGTTCGAGCCCCAGCTGGTTCATTTGGCATTTCTGTGGGGTTTGCATGTTCTTCCTATGTTCCTGTGGGTTTTCTCCGGGTGCTCTGGTTTCCCTCGCAGTCCAAAGACATGCGCTATAAATGAATTGAATAAGCTAAATTGGCCGTACTGTTTGAGTGTGTGTGAATGCGAGAGTTTATGGGTGCTTTCCCAGTGCTGGCATCCATTGCGTAAATCATATCCTGGATGAGTTGGTGGTTCATTCTACTGTGGCCACCCCTGATAAATAAGTCGAAGGAAAATGAAAGAATGACTGCTTTTTTTGATTTAGTATAAGATAAGCCTTTCATAAATGTACTGACCTCGACTATTTGTACAATTATTTAAACAAATTTTACTTCATTTTGAACCTTTTTAAAATTTTGTTTTGGATGAATCATTTGAGGGGGCATACGAATAAGCGTAATGCTTTTGTTCACAGAACCAAATGTGTTATACTAATGTGTGGTAGGAGAAAAAAAAAAGACTGAAAGCGAGAGAAAAAAAAACGAAAAAGCGAGAGATGTCTTTTCACTCCCACAGTGAAAAATAATGACTCTCCTAGAGACTTCTGACGAGTTTGAAGGAGAGAGAAGCACGTCCTGATGTGCCGAGAGCGCAGATGAAGGAAAAGAGGAGAAACAGACAGACTTAAGGCAGGCCGGGTACCTGTGCTGGATCTGTCATCACTGGAATCCATTTTGGTGAAGTCTGTATCAATGGAAACTCGCTCCGCTGAATCGTTAGAGCTGTCCAGGCTGCCATGACTGACACTGTCGAGATCACTGGCATCTGCTCACAAGAACAGCATGAAAGACAGTTAGCAGGAGAACTAACAAGAAACATATTTCAAAACAGCCACAGTCTGCAGTGTGAAAAGATCTCTGCTTAAAGATTGCATCAGATTTCAAAGTGGCAGCAGAGCAAAAAGACCAATCAGAGAGAACATGTGCCTAGTGGCTTTTCTGATCCAACATAAAAAAAAAAAATGAAGCCCCTCACGTGGGGTGAGAAGGTTGTGAGGGGCTTTCAAAGCATGCACTAAATCCAATAATAATAATCATCTAAAGCAAAAAAAAAAAGATGAATAATTCAAGAAATTTATTTTATAGAATTGAGATAAACAGGCATCAAATGGATGAACTGAAAATGGAATATTGTTTTGTTTACTAGTAAAACAAACAAAAGTTAGAGAATACATTTAGAACACTGTGTTTTTTTTTTCTTTAAGCTAAATCTAATACAACTGAATGAAGTTTTGAGATTTTCGTAAAACTACAATAAGGTTGTATAAGTTAATGTTAGTTAATGTATTTGCTAACATGAACAAACAATGAACAATTATTAAATGTTATTAAATTAACGTTATTAAATAAAGTTGTTCATTGTTAGTTTTAACTAATGTTAACAAGCATGAACTTGTATTTTAATAAAGCACTAGTAATGTTGAACTAAGATTAATAAAAGCATTGTTTATTTTTAGTTCATTTTAGGAAATATATGAACTAATGAAACCGTATTGTAAACTACCAGGGAGTTCTGATCAAGACAGGCAGTATCAGATAAAGTTACAGAAAAAAAACACATAGACACCCACAAAAAATTCTTTAGAGACCAAATTTAATGTCAAATATTGTTATAAATGTTGAAAACAAGTATGCTGTTTCATATTTTTGTGGAAATAAAATATTCCAATGTTTTTTGTATATATAAATATAGAAAATACCTTATATAATAAATGCTATAATAACTTATTTAACGGATTCTTGCTGAATAAAAATATTAATATCTTCCAAAAACAAAACAAAACATATATCTTACTGACTTCAGTCAACTTTTTAAAAGTAGTCTATTAACATTTATTATAAAAGCTTTAACATAAGCCCTATCCATTGAACGTAACCGTTTCCGACTGCATGCAATCAGCCAATCAGATCTCAGACTGTCCCTTGTGCGCAAGATAAATTTGTTCTGCACAACAAATCTACAGTTTTTGGAGGGGTGGTATGTTAAGGCAGCTTGTTTTAATTAAGAAAGCCCTCTCATGCCTTTCTCTAATATGCTGTTTACAGCAGCCCAGGCGAGAAAGTAGATGCCATCGAGTGCAGACTATGTGGCTGAGGAGGCGACTATCGACTCTCATCTTAATTGGAGCCATTAAAGTCTCTCCGGTTGAGCAGGCATGCTGGATCAGGCCCGAGTGAAGAGGGGGAGAGATAGAGCCCCCCTGAGGCACAAAACTCAAGTAACCCTGTTTCCCTGTGCAATGATGGAAAGTTTTTCTAACACTGAGAAACGATATTGAGTCGATGCTCCCCTGTTGGCTAGGCTAACATCTCAAAGGGCATCTCGTTACTCTGTAATAACTCTTGTGATATAATGACTAATCATTCGGAACAATGATTAAATGTTCTGGTGGAGCAATGGGAAACAAAATGATTATTATGTAATGTAATGAAAGCAGCTACCAGGGGTGGAAACTGACAACTTAGTTCCTTTGTTAATGCATTTAGGTACATTTTCAAGTTTATGTATTGTGTCTGAGTATTTGTTTTTTGAGAAACTTTTCTTTTACTATGTTACATTTGAAAACTTAATATTTTCCTCCACTGAACTGGAGAGATCATCACCTGAAGCGATAGCAGTGATTGATTTGTGAACAAGCTGATAGTTTCCCTCTTAATTGGATTGCAAATCACTGTGAATGATTAATTTGTGAATTGGACTAATCCGATTGTATCTGTTCTCAAGTCAACAGAAAACTGATTAAAATGATTGAGTCGGAGCGAATCTTCAATTAATGATTCAATGATTCAAATGATCCAGTTGCATCAAGCTTCTAGCAGACAATTCACTGATTTAAACGACCCAGTTTGAATGAATCTAAACTTAATGATTCACTTAATCAAATGATCAGTTCATAGAAAGTCTTAAGTTAATGATTCACTGATTTGAATGATTAATTGGAGTGAGTGTACATTTAACTGATTCAAATTATCCAGTTAAAGCAGGTTACTTTTATAGTCATGGTCAATGATTCACTGAAACAAATGATCAGTTCATAGAAAGACTTCAGTTACTGATTCACTGATTCAAATTATTCATTGGAGTGGGTGTCCATTTAACAGTTAACCGACTCAAATGATCCAGTTAGAGCAAGTTAGTTTAATAGTCATGGTTAATGATTCATTTAATCCAATGATCAGTTCATAGAAAGTCTTCAAGTTATGATTCTCTAATTCAAATGATTTGGTTTGAGCTCATCTTCTGTTAACAATTCACTGATTCAGAAAATAGTCATATTTACAATATCCATTAGTAATTTAAATAAATGTTATGAAAATTTGTTTTGTCCAGCATCTTGGGTGGATTTTGTAGCTTTTACATTGCATTAGGAGACTATCAATGCTTTTTTGGGGAGAATAAGTGCAACAGAGTTGGGGGTTTTACCAGAAAGATGAGTGTCTTTCGGGTGGGTGGTCTGCCTCCTCCATACTTGTTTGAACAGCACCACACCCCGGACCACATTTCTCAGCTTTCCCCACAGGAAGTATCCCCCTCTGGTGGAAGAAGGCCATGTGCTCTCCAGGACGGCCTGAAGGGAGAAGAATGCTACAGTAAGAGACACACACTCACATACAGATTAGCTGAATAATTCTACAGTACAATGCCTCTCATTATCTTAAGTAGATTGTGTTCTTTGTCAAGGACTAGCTGTAATTACTCTGATAGAATTGGAGCAACGCTCAGCTGCCCAGACTTATATCTATGCCAGTGTGTCCTCCTGGTATTTTGGGACAATTTCCAAAACACACACACACACACACGCACACGCACACGCACACGCACACGCACACGCACACGCACGCACACACACACACACACACACAAACACAAAAAAAAAAAAACGATCCCCAGGGAGATGATTGCTGGTCTATGCTTTTGTCTAATGATAACAGGCATGAAAAACAAAGTCACATGCCAAATCTGCTGCCAGATGAAGGTCCTCAAGAATTAGCAAAACATACCTCTACAGATAAATCACTTCTCTTTTATTTTGAAGAGCTGGTTTTACAAACTATATTTCAGTATTAAAGCAGCTCATATATTGCATAAAATGTATGTGTGGTATTTCATTAGATGCAAAATGCTAAACCAAGTGGCATTTGGAATCAAACTATGCCAGAGCAGTGGTTGTGTTGGTAATATAAACTGGGTTGCAGGTCTGTCCTGATTCTGTCTGTTTTAGTTGCAGTTAGCAGGAAAAATGCTAAAAGCAAAACTGCAACTAACCTTGTGATTGTGCATTAGTAGGATTTGTAAATAAATGTGCTTATCAACTTTTAAAATTAGGAGAAAAATGTCATATGCTGTTTGTTTTTGATGTATTTTGCATAAAAAATTGTATTAAATTAGATGAACACTGTTTCTGTGACATTTCTTCACCCTCAAAAACCACAAGCAAAACACCAGATTGTTAAAGACATACAGCCCACGTTAAATAAAAAAACAGCTCCATATCAGAGGATAAACAAGTCCTTTCAATATTGAACTCAATCTAGAAAAATATACACTTTTTGGGGGGTATTTTTTTTTTGTATTTCAGGGTTGAAGAAAAGAGCCATTTTGGTGCCTGCATCAAAATAGTTTTTCTCAGTAACTTTGGTCCATTTCTCAGATCAGAATAGAAATTCTCAAAACTACCTGTTCAATCTTCACATCATTGTGTCACTTGTGCACATCAGAAAAGCAGTTTCTCGTTGCAAATGCTTTTGTACAATCATGCAAATGATTATGTGCAGTTCTCTGATGTTACAATATCAATTGCTTATGTCATGTTGAGCAAAATGCATTATTTGGGTCTCTGTTGAATTGTCTCACACCCTACAACATTTGTTAATGGCATAAGTTTTTACAAGCAAAATGACTGAACAAGTTGTAATAATATTTTTCATAATTCATTTTTTAATATTTTTTTTTTATTAAATTAAATTAAATTTTTAATTTTTTAATAATTTATTTTTCTATACATTTCCATTTAACTTTTTTCTAAATCTGTCTACAACTGGTACATTTCTCCCTGGTGAATCTTGATCTTTTCTAATGAAGGTCTAAAAGGAGATTGATTGTCCTATGTTCACATCTCTACTTTTGTTTTTTCTTTATGCTTTATGCTATGCATTGCTGTCTTTTCCTTTCTGTATCACAATGATATGATCTGTCAACAAATTACAGCACAAACAAACAGACAAAAAATATTGCGATAGTTTACATCAGAACAGCTCTTCAGAGTACACTGTTATTGTCTTATCCGCACACAATAACACAAGGAAACGTTTATAGACAAAGAAATTTAGTTTTGAGAGATGTCCACAGGACTTTGAGCATGGAGACTGGGTTTTGCAGGTAATCCATGGTGTTTTGCTATTTGTATGTGTTGTTTTGAAAAATGCACTTACTGTTTGGCGAATTTTAGTTCTGATCTGAGAAATGCACCAAAGTGACTGAGAAAAACTGTAATGTATATAGACATTATATTATACAATGCAAGCAAGGATTTAGACAAACCCATAGATAGATAGATAGATAGATAGATAGATAGATAGATAGATAGATAGATAGATAGATAGATAGATAGATAGATAGATAGATAGATAGATAGATAGATAGATAGATAGATAGATAGATAGATAGATAGATAGATAGATAGATAGATAGATAGATAGATAGATAGATAGATAGATAGATAGATAAATAGATAGATAGATAGATAGATAGATAGATAGATAGATAGATAGATAGATAGATAGATAGATAGATAGATAGATAGATAGATAGATAGATAGATAGATAGATAGATAGATAGATAGATAGATAGATAGATAGATAGATAGATAGATAGATAGATAGATAGATAAAACAGACAGACGGAAGGATGGATGGATGGATGGATGGATGGATGGATGGATGAACGAATGGCCAGATGGTTGGATGGACGGACGGACGGACGGACGGACGGACAGACAGACAGACAGACAGACAGACAGACAGATATAGATAGATAGATAGATAGATAGATAGATAGATAGATAGATAGATAGATAGATAGATAGATAGATAGATAGATAGATAGATAGATAGATAGATAGATAGATAGATAGATAGATGTCTATAGAAGTCGAATATTTAACACAACAGTATCATCTGCCGCTGTGGAACCTTATATGGTAATCTCTACAGTTATTTTCCTAATCATATTTTTTTATGTGAACGGGCCTTGAAATGAATGTGTATATTTTAACATGAGAAAACTACACTCACTCTGTTGTAGTATCCATATGTAATGGCGTTAGGCTGAACTCCGGCTTTCTTCATCTCAAACAGGACTCGAACCGCTAGAACAGGTTGACCATATTGCCCACACAGCTGCATCAGGACTCGATAACACACCTCCAGAGGGCCAGAAACAAACCGTTAAACACAAAATCACAACACAAGTGCAAGATTCTACAGTCTAGACCTGCAGCACTACTCGCAAATGATCAAAGCAATCAATAGAGGCGACTGTACCTCATCTGGAGGCTGCAGCTTTTTGTCCTGCATGTTTCTTAGCACATCGTAAGCAGTATGCAGAGCGCGCACTTTAGAGTGACACGCGCTGACGTACGCAGGCAAACAGATGAACCACAGACCGTGACAGTGCCTGAGGAGACATTTAGACCACATCTGAGGGATGGAGGAGTAGGTTTTGGCCATCCGCTGGGCTGATTTGATCTCCTACGGAGGGAGGATCAGGACATTAGAGAGGAGGAGGAGGAGAGATTTGACAAGTGGGATCATGGGTTAGCGTTTGAAAATATAAACCTGTTGGGAGCGACGGAATATAGCAGCAGGGCTGATGGGACTGATGTGTCTCAGGGCTGATGTTGCTTTGGGGACTCTGAGACCATCCTGATGCTCACAGAGTTGAGCGTTCAGTGCCGGGAAGCCGCTGTAACTGTAAGACATCCAAAGATTGTTACTGTCAAGACATGTCAAACGTTATTTATCAAAGCCACAACGTTACAGCATGCAGCACTTAATGCAAGAGTTCCATTGAGATTCTGCAGCTTCAGAGAAGATATTAATATGACTACAAATCTGCAGATTATAAAAGCTAAAGTGCAGTTACATTGAAATGATATGAAATATATAATTAAGCATAAATGTGTGCCTAACACTGATCACCAATATATGATAAAATACACTGTAAAAAATGCTGGATTCGACCCCATTTCTTCTTGTTGTTCTGACACAAATTGATAAGTTAACTTAATTGCTTTTACAAATTGAAGTAGATTGAACATAAAACAATTAAGGTTTTCCAAATAAACACATAAGAATTGTGTTATTTCCCATTTTTAACTCATTTTAAATAAGTACTTTTAACAAGCAACAAAAATCCTTTTTTATAATATAATATAATATAATATAATATAATATAATATAATATAATATAATATAATATAATATAATATAATATAATATAATATAATATAATATAATATAATATAATATAATATAACTTAATCAACAGTTTTGTCTGGTTCTTGAATCTGACTGGCTGATAGCCGTGTGATATTCTGCCAGTAACAGCACTCATACTGCCTCTTCACCCTTCATCTTTGTGTATTACTCTGCCCACATACAGCAACAAGCAGAGGACACTATACAGTTTGACAAATATTCCTGCTGTTGTATAAAATAAATAAATAAAGAAAAAAATTATAAATAAAATAAAATATAATATATTTCCCAGTACTGGGTTGCAGCTGGAAGGGCATCTGCTGCATAAAACATATGCTGGATTAAATGGTGGTTCATTCTATGAATAATATAATATAGTATAATACTGAATTTTATTGAATTCAATACTGAATACTTTCTGCTTAAATACACTCTTTTGTTGCTTGTTCAAACTACTTATTTAAAATGACCTGAAACAACACAATTATTGGAATTTTTGTTGGGACAACTTAATTTTTTGTTTCAATCCACCTAAATTTGTTAAATCTATAAAGTTAGCTTTATGTGTTGGGACAATATGAATGAATTACGTGGAGCCCTGCATTTCAACAGTGTATATATGCAATACATTTTTTTATTTAAAAATGATTAAATATTGAAAACAACAGTTAAATATTTATGAGTATTTATAAAAGGCATGCCACAATTATGCTAAAAAGATGTTTACTTAAATGATAGGACAATCTTAAGTTATATTTATACAAAATCTATGTGCTAAAATGGATATAATTTTTCCTCTGCATTTTAAAAAGGTTTTTGCATGGACGGCAATGTGATCAGTATGATCTCCATTCACAAACATCTGTGAAAATGATTTCTAAAAAAATGTTTCAAGGATGACAGGCCAGTAGTTTGCAATGTCAAATATGCATAACATCACAGTTTTCAAAACAAAGTGTATCTTTTTTAGTATACTCTGATATGACAATGTTCTTGTTTAAAAAAAAAACGCACTTTTAACTTAGTTTGTTACGTTCATTTTGTTTGTTCAGGCCCCCAAAATGTACTCAAACGCACTAAAGTTTCATTTTAAAACGTTATTATGTAAACACAGTGTTAATCCTCAACGTCAAGAAACCCCATTGTTCGAAAACCACACCAAATCCCAAAATAACAGATCCCCTCAACATAATCACATGCTCTCTAAGGGGTGTGTATTATTGCTTTATAGTAAGAGTTTTTCTGAAGACCCGGGATCCTCCGAGAGCTTTATTCATCCTGCTGTGAGAGTTTTTTTAAGGGGATTACACTACCGCAACAATGCCATCTGTGCGGCAATGTACTGTTTATGTGGTGGTGTTGCTGATCGTGACAGCTTGTGTTTGGTCTGTTGTACCTGTAAACCATAGGTGGCTCCTCTCCTTCTGGAAGTGCTGGCAGCTCTGGAGGGCTGATGAAGACCGTGTGTTCGCTCCGGTGGGATTTGTCAAGTTCAATAAGCCTAGTGTCCTCTGGCTTATCGCTGTCCACCTATAGTAAAAACACATTCAGTCAGACCCAGACAGCTCTTCCGTTTCTACACAAACTTACACTCGCTATGAGCAATGACCAGTGATGGAGAAAAAAAAAACATATTTTAGCTTGGAGGCTAATAGAGGTCATTTGAAAAGAGGAAAATATGTTAGAAAGCGGAACCGGAGAGAACATTTATGGCAACATGAAGGTTTAAAAATGGCATTTGTCACATGTTTATGTACTTTATATTAGTTTATTTGAGTTCCTTTATTATTTCTTGAAAACTGTACATTTATTTGCATTATATCATTATTTGTTTTAGTATTTTTTGTATTATTATTTTCAGTTTTGTGTATCTTTTTATTTTTAATTTTACATAATTTATTTATATTTATTATTTTTATTTTGTTTAGAATTTATCTTTATTTACTAGTAATCTCAAATCAATTAATCTATTTTATGTTATTTTTTAAAATAAATTTGATTATATTATATTTTAGTAGATTTTATTTTAACACTATATATTATTGTAAGAATTGTACTTTACATTTTCATTTTATTATAATACATCTTTAATATATATTTACTATATTTACTGGAACTTTTTTTAATTTTGTTAACTTTAATTCAAAAATTATTCATAATTTTAATTATTTATAACATAATTGTATTTAAATAGATTATTTTTTATTTTATTTAGCATTTATCTTATTTATTTCAATGTATTTTACTTCCTTTTATTTGTTTTACTACACAGAAAAATCTATTATTTCTAATATCTATGTTTTATTTATATTATTTATATTTATATATTTATGTTTTATTTAATTTACAGATGAAGTCAGTATTATTAAACTCCCTTTTTCTTTCTTAAATATTTCCCAAATAATGTTTAACAGAGCAAGGAAATTTTCACAGTATGTCTGATAATATTTTTTCTTCTGGGGAAAGTCTTTTTTGTTTTATTTCGGTCAGAATAAAATCAGTTTTTACGTTTTTTAAAAAGCATTTTAAGGTCAAAATTATTAGCCCCTTTAAGCTATGTATTTTTAATAGTCTACAGAACAAACCATTGTTATACAATAACTTGCCTGACTACCCTAACCTGCCTAGTTTACCTAATTAACCTAGTTAAGCCTTTAAATGTCACTTTAAGCTATATAGAAGTGTATTGAAAAATATTTACTAAAATATTATTTACCGTCATCATGGAAAAGATACGATAAATCAGGTATTAGAAATGAGTTATTAAAACTATTATGTCCAGAAATTTGTAAAAAAAATCTTCTCTCCGTTATACAGAAATCGGGTATAGAAATAAACAGGAGGGCTATTAATTTAGGGGGTTTAATCATTTTGACTTCAACTGTATATATAAGTTTTTTTTATCATTTATAAAACTGAGAACTGAATCCGAAACCAGCCACGAAGCCTTGCCAAGGGATTTTCCACTGTCTGGATGTGCCAAGAAACTTTAAGCACAGATGATCTGACCTCAGATCAGACAGAGCACAGGTTTTAGTGTAAATGAGCCAGATAATCTCCCACATCGTTGTGTCTGACAGATCTCACATCTGTATCAAGAAGCTCTGATCCTCCATCTGCCACAGACACATTGCAAGTGCGCTGACCTGAACTTAATGCTCAATGTTGTCCTGCTTGAGGGCCGTGAAACCGTTCCAGAGCTCTTTATAGGCCAGCCAGAGCTCAGAGGAGCCACTGTACATTTAGCCTTCAGACAAACCCTGTCTACAAGCCTGTAAATGCACTATAAATGCATCATAAAGCCCATGCTATTGTAGTACACTGAAAATGAGGAAAGCTTTATGTCTATCGATAAAGTGAAAATCCATTTAAGCCTCTGTTAAGCATCCTCAGCAAAAGGGTTTTGGATCACATAGTTTTAAAGTTATTGGGCAGACAAGAGTGACACGGCAGATTCAGGTACTTCCAGCACTTGCCAAATGAGATTCCCTGGGAAGGTTTTAGATCAATCTCTGCCTTTTTTTAACAGACAAAAACAGCACTGATGGCTGTGGTGTCGATTATAGAGCTGTGTAATGCATTAGGATGCCACAAGGCACTTTCCATGAATACGGTACAAAACAAAGTTTGAAACCATAGGAATTTATTTATTTTTAAATATTACATTTATAAATACCCACATAAAATATAATTATTGTTGCTGTTATTATTCATATTATTATTAATAGTAGTAGCAGTAAGTGTACGAAGATTCTTAAATCAAGATAAATTTATTGAAGATATAAAATGACTGAAATAAAAAGATCTGTGAAATGTAGTTTTAATTTCAGTTAAGTTTTAAGTTCAGTAAAAACATTTGTTCTTACTGAACCATAAAATGTTACATTTCTAGGCATATATACATCTTGGATTTTGTCTTGAAGGATGTTTAGATATCTATAAAAAAAAAAACTATTAGCCAAATTATTAGAAAGTTTTCCCAGTGCTGTTTCACATGAGAAAGACATGTTCAATTTTTTTTTTTAAACATATCATACATTCATTCATTTTCTTTTCAGCTTAGTCCCTTTATTAATCAGGGGTCACCACAGCGGAATGAACCGCCAACTTATAGAGCATATGTTTTACACAGCGGATACCCTTCCAGCCACAACACTACAGCCAGTTTAGCTTACCCAATTCACCTATTGCGCATGTCTTTGGATTGTGGGGAAACTGGAGCACCAGAGAAAACCCACACGAACATGAGGAGAACTAGAAAACTCCACACAGAAACCAGCAACCTTCTTGCAGTGAGGTGATAGTGCTACCCACTGCGCTGCCCCTAAACAGAATATCTAATAACTAATTTCTCTTAGTTAATTTCTTGCCATGATGACAGTGGACTGACAACATTTTACAGTGACAACATTTTAGTTATTTTGCAAGATACTAGTATTCAGTTCAATTGAAAGGCTTAACAAAGTTGAATAAGTTAACTAGGCAATTGATTAACTAGCAAGCCATTGAACAACAGCGGTTTATCTACAGCTAATCGAAAAAAATAATGCATAGAAAAAAAATAAGGCACAGGTGTCAAACTCAGTTCCTGGATAGCCATAGCCCTGCAAAGTTTAGTTTCAACCCTAATTAAACACACCTGATCAATCTAAGTGTGCTTTATGCTTGTTTGAAACATGCAAGAGTGTTGAAGCAGGACTGGAACTAAACTCTGCAGGGTTGCGGCCCTCCAGGAATTGAGTTTGACACCCCTGTCTTATGGGCACTCTTAACAATATTCACCTAATTTTTTGGTTCCAGCCAAACTAAAGAAATATGACTTTCTCTAGAAGACAAAATATAACAGGAAATACAATCAATATGTCCTTGTTTTGTAAAACATCGCTTGGAAAATTTGTTAATTTACAATTGGCCTTTAACTGTACATACATTAAAGAAAATATTTTTCTATTTCAAGTTGTGGAAAAGCAAGTTACAACCTATTATTAAGACTCGTTTTATAAACTGCTGAAACTCTGTATTAATAATAACACTGACATTATTTTTTCCATCCATCAACAACTGCTTGACATGTAGAAGATAAAAAGTCAGCCATTCTTTTATTGCAAAAAACTATAATCAGGATAATCTAGATTCAATCCTGGCTTACAAAGCAAACGCATAAATGGATATTGGAAATGATTTTATTGTGTGAGAAAAAAAAGCATTTAGCAGTGCATGCGATTTGTTGCCAAGGACAGCAGTGAAGTACACTGTTTAAAAATAGTTTAGTAGTATAACCTTCCACAGCAGAACACCGTGTATGTTTAATTAGAATCAAGTATTCCCGAGAGCCTTGAAATAATCACAAACTGTGCCCAACTTACACTCTATTCAACTCTATTCAGTTGTCAAAATGTGTCATACTCTAATTACTACACAGACAATTCATGAAAATTCAAGTAAAAACATGCAATACCACATTTACACGCTGAATCCCATTCAGATCAGTTTGCAAAATCTTGTTAAAAAGAGTTGTTTACAGGAGACTCCCATAAAGGTTCATTTGAAACAGTGTGTTTTTTACTGTAGACTATCTCTGAGAGAACAATTTGAATCAGTGAGTGGTTTCCTGGAGACTCACTCTGAAAGAATCACTTTAATCAGTGAATCATTCACTGGAGACTCACTTTGATTGGATAATTTGAACCAGTGAGTTGTTTACTAAAGACTCAATCTGAAAGGAGACTTGAATCAGTGAATCATTTACAGGGGACTTACTCTGAACAGATCCCTTGAATCAGTTAGTTGTTTACTGGAGACTCAACTCCGAATAGATCAATTTAATCAGTGAATCATTTATGAGTCTCACTTTGAATCGATCACTTGAATCGGTGAGTTGTTTAATGCAGACTCACTCTGAAAGAATTGCCTGAATCAGTTAATCATTTATTAAAGACTCACTCTGAATAGATCACTTAAATCAGTGAACTGTTTACTGAAGACTTACTCTGAATACATCATTTTAATCAGTAAATAATTTACTGGAGACTCACTCTCAATTGATACTTTAAATTAGTGAGTTGTTTACCAGAGACTCACTCTGAAAGGATCTCTGACTCGGATGTACACCCGAGTTCTGCAGACACATTCACACTAGCTAAATGTACTATGACATCAAACGAACCCGGGTGCGAACCCGGGTGCGAAGCTTGTGTGAAAGCACCATTAAATCAGTGACTCCTACACTGGAGATTCACTTTTAATACATCAATTAAATCAGTGATTCATTTAATGGAGACTCATTATGAACAGATCATTTGAATGAGTGAGTTGTTTACTGGAAACTTGCACTGAACAGATCACTTGAATCCATAAATCGTTAACTGAAGACTCACTCTGAATGAATCACTTTATCTTTATGGATCACTTGAATCAGTGAATCCTTTACTAAATAAGTTGAGTTGTTGACTTATAAACAGATGTCTGTGCAATTACTAAACTGATTGTTCAGTGTAATTTGAGAACTGATTCAAACAATTTAACTCTTAAAAATATGTAATTCAGTAGTGAAGTAAAAATACCACTGACGATATGTCATCAGCAAAAAATAGGGCCAAAAACAGGATGAAAAATGATTGCGCATTACTTAATTATGCCGAACTTTAAAAGTAACTTTGTATGACTGAGGTTTCCCATAGTGATCGAGTTAGTTTCGTGTTCCGGCGGTACATGGTTTGTCCTTTTCTGCCCTAGTTCTTGTTTAACGCCCTCTGTGAACACAAGCCACAAACCCACGCCAGTTTAAATCAACTCAAGCTGTCATTTTCATTACCACCGCAGTGCTAAAGGACTGTCCTCCAAGGTTCTTTCAAAAGGAAAGGACGGGTCAGCGCAGGATAAGTGTGACTTTCATTGATGGCAGAATAATTGAAAGTGCGAGGCAGAGCGAGTTGAACATTCGTCTTTACTAGCAGACTGAAGCCTTGTGGGGAGAACGATGGGCTGAGAAATGACTCCTGTTCCTCTAAACAAGAACAGATTGTGTGCCTTTGTTGAGACAGATATAAATGTACTACAAAGGTGTGATACAACTATTTGAGACTATATTTGTCAGCACTTCAGGCAAATAGTTCACTGAAGGAATAACTTCAGTCTGGGTCATGCAGAGAAAAGGCAGCATTTGCAAACTTAAAGAGATGCAAAATGGTGTAGGGCACAGAAAGATTCATTATGCATGCAGGATCTGCAGAGACTCTGAAGTAAATCGCAATGTTTTTAATAATGAAAGCAGAGAGTGCGCGCCTTCAAAGACAAGATTTATTTCAGCCCGTGGTGAAAAAACCACCAAACAAAACAAGTTACGATTATCAAATTATTCTTTTTTTTTACATTTTATTGCATTATTTTATTTTATATTTATTTATTTATTTATTTATTTTACTGTAATATAATACATTTCCCCTATTTGTTTTATTGACATTTGCTTTTCTATGGATAAATTAAATATATTTTTAAAACTAGGTTAAATTATGCATAGAAAAACAAATGAAAACAAAATAAATAGGGGGAAATTAATTATACTAAAATAAAATGTAAAACAAATGTAATAAAATAAACTAAAAGAAATTAAACAAATTTTTTTTTTTTAAATAATTTTATTTTGATTTACTTAATTTTGTATTATATTACTTTTTTATTTTAGCATATTTTATTACACTTTTACTAAAATTGTTACATTTCAATTATAGTATTATAGTTTAAAATTGTATTTATGTAAACATTTTAATTAAATTTCTGCAATCAAAGTTAATCGTTCAAAATTTGTACTTTTTTTATTATATTTGGATTTTTTCAATTTTCACTTTTTACATTTTATTTGAATTACTTTTATTTTCCTCTCTTTATTTTGGTTTTGGCTTACATTTGTTTTACTCTACATCATTTAACTTAATTTTGTTGTTTTATTTTATTTTATTTACTTTATTTATAAAGTAAATATTTATAAATATTTATTTATTTTATTACTTTTATTTACTTTATTTATAATTTTCTTTATATTTTTATTTATTTATATATTTTTTTTACTTTATTTGACTTTAAATTACATTTTATTTATATTACATATTAAATTTACTACATTTTATTTTATACTTTACTATACACTTTATTTTCTTTTACAAAACATATTTAAATTACAGCATTACTGTCTAAAAATACAACTTTGTCAATGTAAATTCTACTTTTGCAATCCAAAAAAAAAAAACATTCTCCTGATTATTTTTAGTATTTTCTACAATAGATATGACTCATATCAGTTAAAAAATAATCATTTAATTCACCAACTTACCTTCCCTCCTTTCTCTGTGCCAAACAACTGCTCAAGCAAGCAAGTAAAGACAACAGTTAAAGAGAAAAGAGACGAGAGCAGTGAGAAAAGCAAAAATAACAGGAGAGCCTGCTCAGATAAAAAGCCAAAATGGAAAAATCAACAAACAAGAGAGCAATACTCGCAGAAAATTAACAACCTGACATAAGCCATCCCAAGGGAGCATAACAGCACAGCTAATAACAACTTAGAACGTTTTCCCTTACAGTTCTCACAAATCACACTGTTTGCCCTCCCTTGAACTTTTTGTTACAAGTCCTTTGCTAAGAGCCAGTAATGTAATTTAAGATATTAACTCTTTAGAGCCTTGTTAAAGCAATTAAAGGTGAATCTGAATAAAGGGATTTCATGCACTTTTTTTTGCAGCAGTGAAATATGCATACATAGAGACCAAAACGTCATACCTTGTCAACGCAGTCATCAAAGAAAGCAAGGCTTGCATCCTTATCGCTGACAAAAGAGCACTCTTCAATGAAACGAATGAACATCTGAGTCTTAGTCATGAGGGAGTAAAACTTCTGATGGGATCGATCACGACTCTTCAAAAAGCCTGCAAAAAGAGGCAAAGTCGTGAATGATGGGAAGCGAAGACACCATTGCAGTGAGAAAAGGGGACAGGGTTCAGGTAACTGGCAAAACAATATAATAGAGGTAATCAAAGCAACAATACAACAAAAATAATATATACAGCTATGGAAAAAGAGCTTAAATTTACTGTATTTATAAGTAGTGATCATTAAAAATCCACCAAATACTCAATTCTTTACACTGATTTCTTAATTATTAAATAAAGTTTCAGAATTCTTATTGTATTTCCTAAAAAACGAATATAAACATGTCTGAACACATGGCACATTTTTTGCTATCAATACAATAAATGCTCTGTAGTTCAAGGGTCAGTTCACGTCAAAATATTTTATTCTGTTATAGACTGCTCACCTTCATGTCATTCCAATGCCCTGAAACCATTTTTCATCTTCAGAACACAAATTAGGATATTTTAGATGAAATCCAAGAGTTCTCTCTTCATTCGTAGACAGCAATGCTACAGACTCAGATTCAAAGTTCAGAAAATTACCAAAAACATCCTCTAAACAGTCCATGTGTCTTCAGTGGTTCAATCTGAAAATTATAAAGCTATAAGAATACTTTTGAATAATGACTTTATTCAATAGTTTCTTCTCCTCAGTGTCAGTATAGGTCACACAAAGTCTTCTTTATGCACCCTATACTGACACTGAGGAGAAGAAAACTGTTGAATAAAGTCATTATTTTCATAGCTTAATAAAATACCGACTGACCCTCTGAAATATTTTAACATTTTCTTGGACTTGGAATGAGTCGGGACTACTGCAGTCAATGGAGGATCAGACTTCTCGAATTTCATACAAGACATATTAATTTCTTTCATGAAGATGAGCAATTAATTATTTAATTTTCAATTTTTGGTGAACTAACTTTTTAGAATTTTGAGTTAAACATTATTTTTTGTTTTATAATACTAATGACACGTCTTAAAAATTAAAAATACAACTATTGTCATTTCAGACATCAAGCAAAGGTGCCATTACAACAAAGAAAGGTGATGGCGTTCATTAGTTGATCTCTATATTTCACAGTCACAGTTGTCACTTGTGATTAAACACTTAATCAGTCAAATTTAAAAAGAGATGTCTTAAATTACGCGAATTACACCACTGAGAAAGCCCGAGCGTCGTGTGAAAGACGAATCCGACTAAAGAAATGATTACATAAGAGGCTGCAGATGTGTCCTCAGACATTCGATTAATCACCACAGTTTGCTGGACCTGTCAGCCGTGCCTAATTTCCAATGGGGCTTTATCAAAATCGCCACAATCATTTCAAGCCTGATTTAAGCCAGACTCCACAGGCACGAGGCCAGAATCGAGCATTCAGAGCAGCTGCTGAGCTTCACATTCCTCTAATACAACAACAGCGGACTCTCTGCATGTGTGCGGGTCAAAACAAGCCACCGAGGACCTGAAATGCATTGTTTTTTTGTTTCGACACCAATGACGCAACTCCATTACAGCTGTCATTGAGCTTTCACAAACAATACTAGCTGTGTTGACATACCAGGACAAGAGAAAGCTCAACACGTCTATTTTGACTGCTTACCTTGCAGATCAAAGAGTGAGCTGGCGTCTGTGGCTTTCTCAGAAGGAGCCTGTGTGATGGGCAACAGGTATGAGCGGTAGCCTTTCAAGATGGCCGCCATAAAGCGCAGAAAAGCCTCCTGAATCTCCAGCTCCAACGTTTCCAGACTTTTCCCACCACTGCCAGGTTCCCGTTCGCTCATAAAGGCCTCCATCTGTCCTTCCTCACGACTCATCTGATAACCTGGGGAGAATTGATGCACAAGTTACATTACAGTTCAAAGGTTTGTATGAGTTATATCCAAACACACATCCTATTCTTATGCCCCATATGATGATGCATACATCTCCAAAACCCAACAGATGGACAAACTTATTTTTATTAAAACAAATATAATTATGCATATAATAAATAACATTTCTAATAATTATAACATTATACAAATGCAAATTGTCATGAATAAACCGAAAATGTCTGCCCCTCCCCCTTAAATATATTACAAAATTAATAATTTTTTGTAACATTTTAATCCTTTATTTTTTTCCTATGTAGAGATATTTATGTATTGCTGTACATCCTGTGTGTATTAAGCAATGTGTAAGCGTTTGGAGCTGCATAGGTGCAAAATTAACACAGCTGGACATTAGACCAGCTTTTACTTGGTCAATGGTACTGTATATTTAATTTTCTCAAATTAGCAACGCGCCAACAATGTGCCTTGGAACACCTTTTTAGACCGAAATACCCATGAGTCCACAAAGTGGCACAAATGGATTTGCTATTAAAACATCATGGCGGAAAATGTGAAAATTAGTGCTGCGCTAGTCTGAAAATAGCAACAAATCACACCATACACATCTCGCGCCTTATTGCGCCGGTTGTATGATAGGGTCCTAAAAGTGACAGCAAATACATTAAAGATGCTACAAAGGATTTATTTTTTCCCAAAAATGTTAAAGGATGTCAATGCAGGTAATTTTCCTTAAACAATATGCAGTATAAGTACTTTTAACACATAATGATTTCTGCAGGATCGTTTTAGAAGAAACCTTAGAAACAGACAATTAAAACAAATTGTAATATTTCAAAATGTTACTGTGTAGAGATTTCACTTTATTTCCAGCCTATTTAATGTTTTGTCAGTTTAGTGGCTAATTCGTACAAATGTGTAAGAGTTCAGTCATAAAAAACTACGATTTTAAAAAGAAGGCATGGCATCCAGATATATAAACTAATGAGTGTTAGAAGGTCAGAAATTTTTAATAGACAACAGAAAATGGAACAAAAATAATGATTGTGTTAGTATAATTATGTATTAAAAATATATAGATTTAGTGTATAAAGTGTGTATAGTGTTAGTGTTTATCTATTAAAAGGAAGAAAGTGTTAGTGTGAGCATGTTTTCTTTTTCATAATATCTAGAATATGCTCTCTCAGTAACGAAGATATAGTAGGCTCAGTTTGAGATATGGTGCATTATATAAGCTCCTCTCACATTACTTCTAAAAGGTCAGAAAAAAGACCATAGGCTCTGGCTGTTTTTGAACATCCCCATCAATAGACACATAATGTTCTCCATAAAACATATGGAAACACTATCACTTATCACAGAAAAATGCATCATGCTTCCCTGTAAATAACTCTTTAAGCCTGATTCTACGAGATGGTACATTCCATACAGGGCATTTTAAAGAACCAAAAACACATTAATAATTGGGTTCAAAGTCTGGTTCAAAAATCAAAGCATTAATCAGCTCTCAGGTATCAGATAATATCCAAGCACTCAAAAATAAGAGACCTGTGTCTTGCTCTGCCTTTCTCCAGCCTGTTGACCCCATCTCTAAATCTCATCACATCTCAAGGATGACTGCATTTTGCTCTGACCCACTCGAGCATTCATAAAACATTGTTAGGTAATAAAAATGATACTGTCATAGACCAAAAAGGACAGTGGAAGGCCATTTAAAGTGTGCAGTCGAGTGAACTAATATCGCCCTCGAAGGGACAGACAAATGAAATCATTTCTCAGTTAACACCACGGTGACCTGGCCTCACTAACCCTCATCCAGTTGCTGGTGGAGATTGCTGAGGGTGTTGATCAGATGTTTACAGGCTTTTCTTGGCAGGATCTTCCAGGTCAGGGATCTGCGCTCTTCTTTGCTGAAATAGGTCACAGATGTTGATCATTTTAGAGAGTAAACAGCAAACGGAAAAGCGGGTCCAAGCCTGTGAACAACAGCTTTACAGTTTTAATATAGCTTTTACGACGTCTGCAAACTTTTAGGTGCATAATGACACAAACAACACAAGAGCATGTGTTCAACACATGGTGGAACTGAGAGCCTATCTTTACTATGACATTCCACACTGCTCATATATCTCTATCCTGATCTTTTAAACATCTGCATGAAGATTAAGATCACTGTAACTGAGAATTTCACTCAAAAAATATTTGCTATTGCGAAGAGTCTCTTGAGACTTAAACATAATACAGTGCGAAAGACACTAATCATCACCTGTATGTGGAAATTACTGTTTATTTGGGGAATTTATGTGGTAAAAGATGACTTTAGTGCAATTCTGTAGATCAAAAGTCAGGACAGAGTCTCTTGGGAATTCAGAAGTATGTATAAGTCAAAAGGTCACTCACTGAGTTATAGTGTTTGTGTCCAGGTCCACACAGCTTATGTCCGTCGGTGGCTCATAGAGGTCAAAGTACCGCGAGTCCACACCAACAATGAAAGGGCATGGAGCACTGAGCACATCTGCCAGGGCCAGCGGGCAGAGAGGAATGTATGGGCACGGCCAGTGGAAGGGGAAAATCATCTGCAGGACAGGTAAAAACAAGTAGAGACATGAGGTAAAGGGGAGAATAGAAAACAAAAGAATGACAAAAGTAGTAATGAAGAAACTTGAATGAAAAATCAGGTCTTCCACTTACCGATACCAGGGCCTCGGTGACACTGGTTAGAACAGCAGGACGTAAGGAGTGCACCAGGATCTTGTGTTCGGTCACAGCTAAAACCAATAGAGTTGCTGCATTCTTAGGGCCAAGATTCAATAGCAATGTAGAGAGTCTTCCTCCACTGTGGAAAACGAAAATATGAATGTAAACACACACACACCCATGCAACATTGTATTTACTAATTAAACAAAACTTCATGAAAAAAACATTAATAAAAAAAAAGTACAAAAAAAAAAAACAGATAAAATCAAAAATAAACGACCAAACCAAACAACAATCCAAACTAATTTAAACAAACTTAACACAAAAAAACTAAAAGAAAAAACATGTCAGTCCAAAACAAAAAACAAACAAAACAATAAAACAAAACAAACCAAAACAAAACACAACAAAAACCAGCCAAACTACTTCCTTATCAATAAACAAACAACAAAAACATCTACACCTATCAAACCAATTAAACACAAAACAATTTACCAATTAAACAAAACTTAATAAAAAAAACATAATGAGTCCAAAACAAAACAAACAACTAAAGCATTTAAGAATCTAAACCAACAAAAAACTAAATAAAACAAAAACACAAAAATATACCAGTCCAAAACAAAAACCTAACAAAACAATAAAAAACACCAAAAAACAAACCAAACAAAAAGAAATACACACAAAAAACTGCCAAACTGCCAAACAAAAAACATCAACACCCATCAAATCAATGAACACACAAGACAAAACCAAACAAAAACAACAAAACAATTTACCAATTAAACAAAACTTATATAATTAAAACAACTTAATATAATAAATTAAAATAAACAAAAATAAACAACCAAAACAATCAAGAATCTAAACAAATCTAAACAAATGAAACACAAAAAAACTCAATAAAACAAAAACACAAAAAAACATCTCAGTCCAAAAAACAAAACAACAATAAAACAAACCACCAAAAAACAAACCAAACCCAAACTACACAGGATATCATAAACCCAAACCAAACCAAACAAAAAAATCAATAACAAACAACAAATCACTTTTCAAACCACTGAAACGCAAACTAAGTTCCATATAACAGCCATTTTCGTTTTGAAGAATCCCCCCTTCCACCCCTACTCCTCCTGGCCCAGTGGTTAGCACTTTTGCCTCACTGCAAGAATGCCTCTGGTTCTAGTCTTTACCAAGCCAGCTGACATTTCTGTGTGGAGTTTACATGTTCTCCCCGTGCTCACAGGGGTTTCCCCCGGTTTCCTCCCACTGTCCAAAAACATGTCACTTACGTTAACTGACTAATCAAAATCGGCACTATAGACATGCTCCTAGTAAGTAGTTATCTCTTAAGAGCAATCACTATCTGTTCATTAGCTACTACAGCAGGGGAGTTCTTGAGATATACCAGAGCTCAAACTCCCCTCTTGCCTTATAGACGGGAGGGAGCCCCAGGCTCGAGGATCTTAAGAGCTCAGGGCTCTCTCCTGGGACAGCATGCCAATCAAGCTTTATAATCAATTATCAGCTAAGTGTGAACTCTTGAAATGTCAGAAAATCTGTTTGCATGGATATTAAGATTTAGTTTTAAATATTGGCATATTAACCTTAAACAAGCAAAACAAATGCATGAGGAGTCACAACTCATATTAAAACTCTACCAAGTTATTACTTAACCAGGTGCTGCTAAAGTATCACATCATGCTCTGATCAGCATTCATCCAACATGGTCAGTGTATCTTGTGTCGGACTTACCTCAGAGGGAGAGGAGAGGAAACGGGCTGGCTCAGCATCAGGCTATCATGTGGAGACAGCTGTGAAAAACAAGCACACAAACACGCGGTCACAACGAGACGAGGGCCAGGTTTGAAGCTATTTGACCATACAATGTCATCTGTTTTGATACTTTAAAAACAAAACAGAGCTTGAAGCAAGACATGACGTGCACCAGACTCACCTGCACCAGGATACGTGGCCTTTGAGAGGAGGGAAAGGGAACCTTGTGCATGAAATGAGAAATATGCCTGTGGGAGGGGAAATTTTAGTAAGTAACTGTAAAGTGGATGCAACATGTTTTTTACACAAGCAACCTTCAAAATTGTCCCCACAACTCACTTTTCAATGGGTAGAGTGTGTGGACCTGAGATGGAGTATCTATAGAGGAAGGTTAAAAAGTTACGAAAAGCATCGAAAAAGGGCCAGTGAGAGAGAAGGCAGATGCTTTTGTTGGTGTGGACAGTCATGGATCCGTCAGGCCTGAGTCCGTTAGCCTGCAGTCCCAGCTGAGATCTCTGCTTTTCAGTCAAATGCTCTTCTGGGTAGGGCTCATAAAACTGTATGGCAGCACCATAAACCTAAAAAGCATAAAATATACTCATGAATACCTAATAGAAATTAGGTTAATTTATATTTTCAACAACAACAACAACAACATGATGTTGGAACTTTACTAAAATGCACAATGGTGACTAATTTAGCCTACTTAAAAGGAATCATCATCTGTATCTATTTTAAGACGTGCTTTTCTCAGATGTGTCCAGTGAGAATCTGATATGGAAGATTTATTTTTAAATGTTTGATCTTAGAAAATTAATTAATAAATTCTTACTTTGGCATTTATTAAGATTAAAAAAGACTGTAGAAATATTTATTCATTCATTTTCTTTTAGCTTAGTCCCTTTATTCATCAGAAGTCACCACAGTGGAAATGTCAACTTATCCAGCATATGTTTTACACACCAGATGCCCTTCCAGCTGCACCCCGGTACTGGGAAAACTGTAGAAAGTAATGTTAACTAATTAACTAATGTAATGTAGATTACTAATGTAACAAATGAAAGCTTTTTCTATAGTGTTAGCAAAACTCTATATTATTATTTCAAAATATATTTTAAAAATACTAACCTAAATCAATTGCTTTAATTGCTACAAGAGAATTAAGGCATTGTATTTAATACACAGTATGAAATGTGGATATTCATTTTTAGAATGGCTAAAGATTACATTCAAATATTTATCGCCTCACAGAACTAAATGGCAGCACCATAAACCTAAAAGCACAAAATATCCTCATGAATACCTACTAGGAATTAGGTTGGTTTACATTTTATAGAAATGTAAATTTACGCTGGCTATTTTTGTCTACTTAAAAGGAATCATCATCAGCACCTATTTCAAGACTTTCTTTCATCATGTGTTCAGTGAGAATCTGATATGGAAGATTTATTTTTTATATCTTTTAGATCAGAAATATCCCACTTGATTTTAAGTTATTTAGTTAAAATTGATAAAAGCTTTCACAGAGCATTAATGTAAACATTTGATCTTAGAAAATGAATGAATAAATTCTTATTTTGCCATTATTAAGATTAAAAGAGATGTAAAATTATTATTCATTGTGATTAACTTATGTTAACTAATTAACTGATGTAATGTAATTAACTAATATTACAAACAAAAAATGCTGTACTGTAAATTTAAAATAAAAGAAAAAATACATCCATTCATTCATTCATTCATTCATTCATTTTCCTTCGGCTTAGTCCCTTATTTATCAGGGGTCACCACAGCAGAATGAACCACCTAAAAATACAAACTTCAACCTTGAATTGCTTGCAACAAGTGAATTTACGGTGAGCATCGCATTTAATGTACAGAATGAATTGAGGATTTTCATTCTCAGAATGGCGTAAGATTATTTATTTATTATTTAAAAATATGTTATTTGTATATAAAATACATAACCATTTATATTAAATATATTTATATTTAAATATAAATATTTTGTGGCGGTTCATTCCGCTGTGGCGACCCTCGATTAATAAATGGACTAAGCTGACAAGAAAATGAATGAATGAATGAATGAATAAATATTTTGTAAATATTTATTATTTACAATTATTTATCTGAAAATGGTGCTCTCATAAAACTATATGGCAGAACCATAAACCTAAAAGCACAAAATATACTTATGAATACTTTCTAGGAATTAGGTTGGTTTACATTTTAAAGAACACATGAGGTTAGAACATTACTAAAATGCACAATGGCGGCTATTTTAGTCTACTTAAAATGAATCATCATCAGTTTCTATTTCAAGACTTGCTTTCCTTAGATGAACCCAGTGAGAAACCGATCCACAGCTTTATTTTTGCTGTCTTTTAGACCAGAAATATCCCAGCGTAGCCATGTTTCTTTGAAGCCGCTCACCTAGGTGAATAAATTATACAATGCTGCAGCACAAATAGCCTTGAGAGTTGCTGGGCTGAGAGGAGAGTGAGTCGAGTGTACTGATGTGTTTGACATAATTGAGCTGACCCAAACAGCACTTTAGCGATGCATTATTAAACAGGCCAATTATATGTGCTCATCTTATTTTCAATTCTTTTCCGGGGGCCCATTATTCACTGGCGTTTTTGATTTTCCGCCTGCACCGATTTTGTAGCTGCTTTAAATTCTTTGCACATCGCTTAAGCAGACAAGACAATTCGCTTTCCACTGTGTCTGATTTTCTCAAAGAATGATGGAGCTGCGGTGAGAAGAACGTGTGTTTGCGTTTGCTCGTGCGTGGATACCTTTTCTCCAGAGGCGCCTGTGAGAACGAATGTTGAAAAGACCGGAAGAGAATATTTGGTGTGAGAGGACCAGCACTCGATGGACGCTCCCATCGGCAGGCAAAACAAGGGCACGGATTCAGGCAAAGGAAAGGAATCGTAGTCCTCCTCTGGGTATCTGGACAAAAGACCTGCACACACCATTCAAACCATCAATTAGGCTGTATTCAAGACAATTAATACTGATCACTGCAATCGCCTGGGCTATAATTAATGACTTGACCCAGACTTCCACATGAGAAGATAAGCGTATGCAGTGGTTAAAGCGTGAATATGTTTGGTGCTGAATTCTGTGAGCGCCAAGATTAACAATGACATCATGTTGTTCGTGCTACATGGGAGTATCAGGTTTCCTCATCCGCAATCGCATCCCACTGCTATGATGGGCTTCTCGCTAACGCATCCTGTCCCTCCTGCTGCTCATTGCGAAATGCACAACAAAACACAAACCGTCAAAAACAACTGAAGACTGAGATACAGTACCTGCTTTGAATGCAAGTGTGTTGGTTTTGGCCAGAGATTTTTTGTAGCACAAGTACACAGAAGACCCCCACTGTAAAAAAAAGAAATGACATGTAAATGTAAAATACGTAAAAGGAGGCTTATTGTGATCTTGTTTTATTTTTCAGAATCCCGTAATGTCTGCTTTACCACCCGACTAAAATATTTTACACAGAGGAGTACAAGTATTACACGTGCCACTAATGATAAGATAAAAGGGTCACATTTTACAATAAGGGTAATTAGTTAATGTTAATTAATGCATTTACTAACATCAACAAACAATGAACAATACATTTAGTACTGTATTTGTTCATGTTAGTTAACGTTAATGAAAATACTGTAGTTCATTGTTAGTTCATGTTAACTCATGGTGCATTAACTAATGGTAACAAGCATGGACTTGGATGTTAATAGTACATTAGTAAATGTTTAATTATGATTAATAAATGCTGTACATGTGTTGTTCATGATTAGTTCATGTTAGTAAATGCATTAACTAATGAACCTTATTGTAAAGTATTTCCGATAAAAGATAAATGGTTCAATTCTGTAAGCACTTTACAATATGGTTTTTGTACTATACAAACACACATACACACACAACTATGGAAAAGAATTATAAGACTTGATTTATAAGGGATTGGATATGTTTGGGATTATTTAGTTAAAAAAAATGTTGAAAAAGTTTCATAATGCCTTAATGTAAACCTTTGGCCCTAAAAAATGAATTAATAAATTCTACTGTTGGCCTTAGCTATTAATAAACACTGTAGAAATATTGTTCATTGTGTTAGTGTAACTTCATAAGTGGAGGTCTATAGAATTCTATAATATTTATTAAAATAAAATACAAAATTAAATCAATTTCTTTAAATGCTACAATTGAATTTAAGAATCATATTTAATGTACAGTAAGAAATATGATAGAAATATTAATTTTTAGAATTGTAATTTTGATGAAAAGATGAATTTATAAGCATAAAAACATGAAAATGTAAAAGCTACAGTAAAAAATAATAATAATTTCAGCAAATTTTTACTGGCAAGTAATTCACCAACTAAATTGATATTTTCTGCAGGGTAGGATGACTGTTGTGCTCACCATACTGCTGTTAAGGTTTTTGTCCACCTTGCAAAAGGCATGTGGTGGAGTCTCTCCCTTGCCGGGAATAATGACACAGATGTCTGTGACAGCCAGCGTGGCGTGAGAGTGATTCTCCGCGGCGCGTCGATATGTGATGTAGATCCTCTGAGAGGAGGAGCCACTGATGTTAGCAGGGCGTCCGGAGGGTGTAGTCTGAATAATCTGACAGTCTGGCTTCAGTTTCTCCTTCCACTCATAGAGGATGCTAAGAATGATGAAAGAAAACATATGAGGATGTTGAATGCCTGTGCAAAACAATTATTACAACACAGATTGCAAAACACTGCAGCTGCAATGTGGACATCTGTCTAGATAGTAGCTACCTTTAAAGACAGCATACTAAATGGTCATGGATTAGTAACACCTTATATATACACAAAAAAAAAATGATTCACTGCCTTACCTATTTTTTAGGGTAAGTGGTTACAAAAAATTTACAAATAGCTAAATTTAAACAAACATATAAAGTTGCAAATGACTACATTTAATTTGTTTGTTTAAATTCAGCCTATATAAATTGTTTGCAACTACTTATCTTTAATGAATGTTTTTTTTCAGTAAGCAGCAGTTCCATAAACATCCATTTCACTATTTTTATAAAAAGCATGACTCACTTACATCTGGATCCAACTGGACTGAAAGTTATGATGTTGCTAATAAGAATATCATATAGAATGATCTATTCAGTTGTTTTTGCGATTGTTCTCGAATTGAAAAGAATGCGGTAGATTTATGGACAACATAATCTAAGAAAAAGAACAAAAGGTTGTTAGCAACAATTTCGCTATTTAGAGGCTTTGTTTATTTATCTGGTCATATTAACAAAATGCCAGTAAAAATTATCGGCCAAACAAGCATATTTCCTATTGTCTGTAGAGAAAATGAGGAAATCCGTTTGGAATCTTGCACGGATTCCTCTAGAAATTACTGAAATTGACCTATCTGACTGAACAGGCAATAGAACGATGACTATAACCATGAAGTTGTTATTATTGTTTAATAACAACTGCATGAGCATAGGGAAATCCACGACACAACTTCAGAGTAATAATGATAATAATAATTGATTAACAATATTGCTTAAAATCCCTTTTTCAATGTCATCACAAGATTTACAGCTGATGAACAATTAAAAAAAAGTGCAGCAAATCGAACCTCAGATTTAATACATTTAATTTTAATACAACAAAATACAAAACTCCAGCACACCACACTTGCAATAAACAGAATGCTATTTTGCAATGGTGAGAACTGAGAATGCTAGCATAGTTAAGGCTGATTTATACTTCTGCGTCAAAAGCCGGCGTATGCTACGGCGCTGACGCATAGCCCTTCGCCGTTGCCGTCGGCGTCGCTGACGTGCACCTCTCAAAAAATGTAACTACACGTCGCAACAACGCGTAGCGCAAGCTCTGTGATTGGTCGGCTTGGTAGCGCCGACGAGTCTGGCGAGCGATTGTTTACAAGTGTGGAGTCCCGTGAAGGAGCTCCGGATGGAAAGTTTTGTTCTGTGTTTACCTCATGGTTAAAGTTGTTGCACGTCCGCAGGTTCCTGCTTCAAAATGAGCGAGTTTGAGTCACTTGTACATTCAGGAAGTGTTCAGAAAAGCAAAACAGAAGTGAAGAAACTCGACACAGAGGAACATTTACACCTCACTGCCCACTAGCGTTTCGGAAGTGTTAATGCAGACCAACAGAGACAGCGCGCAGAAGTATAAATGCACAGCTGCGCGCGTTGCCTGCGCCGTGAGTTACGCCGGTCACTTGAGGGAGAAGTATAAACCAGGCTTTAATACTACAGCTATCTGCATTCTCTTTTCCTAATATGAATTATGTTTTTGGATGTTTTTAGAATTGTTTTCAGCTGAGTCATAATACATAGAAATTAAAAACTTAAAGCGGTAAATCACAAAAGTGCAAGAGATTGTTTTCAAGAAGCAAGATAACAAACACCTCATTCAGCTTATCTCAGGCCAATTGTTATGGTGCAGATTTGAGCGCAACTGCCATGTTCACATTGGCCTCAGCACACCAGGTTCCAATACAATGAGTCAGGTGTGAAATCAGCCACAGACTCCTTACCCCAGATCGGTGAGCGGTGGTTTATCTCTGCCTCTCCTATAGCACAGGAAGATCTGCGGCCCCATGAGGCTTCCACCATTCAGTTCAGCAGGGAGTCCGGAGGGGGTGCATTCAACACAGGTATACCCTCTAGGTACTTCCTCCCCTAGAGAGCGAATCACCACTGCCACATCAGTGATCGGTGCCTTGAGTTGAGCTGAGCTTCGGTGAGCTCCATCTTCAGGGTGAACATCTTCCTCCAGGGGCTTTGAAGAGACGGTGAGTCCTGCCACCACAAAGTAGTCTGCTACACGAAGGCTTTTTTCCTCCATCTTCGATCATCCCCATAAAACGAGGACTGTATGTGCTGGGGGGAAAAAAAAACAGAGTAATGTGAACGGGGGAGGAAATCATGACATGCTGTAGGCTAGTAAACAGTGTTGCTTAATAATGCCAGGTGCTCTGACACAAATGAAAACATCCTTCTTTAAACCGGCAGGGATTTTAAGAAACAAATCAGCACATTGCGGCACGGTTATACAACGCTCTCAGGACATATCATTTTAACTCTGGTTACATTTTGGTCCCTTATGTGCTTAGAAAAAGGATATGAGCATTATACCTTCACAGATGCAGAGTACAACCACATGTAACAATCTCAGTGAGAAATATAAACTGGACAAACGGATGCAATTACCCATTCCTGCCGGGGATATATGCCTTTGAATCATGACTCATACTGTTTGTACCTGCAGAATAAGTGCACAAAATGGAAGAGGGAAAGAATGTACTAAAAAGGGAATTCCTTTTGCTTGCGTCAATGCCAAGGCTGTCACTATAAGCCTTTCTAACACTAAAACCACTGATATCCTAATTAGAGACTCCCCTCTCTTTCAGAAGAGGCCTGGGGCTTTTACAACACTCAAGTTGGCACATGTAGTGCTTCTGAGTCAGTCTGGGTGACTGACGCTCACATGGCTTCGACGTACCAAAAATAGCTGGGTACCCAATGGTAGGTAGCAGGTTCAGCTTTATCTTTCTGTACGGGTCATTCAGTCCCAACAAATCACTGATAGACAGGCTAAATAAACAAGTTATTCAACTTCAACTCACCCCATCGGGAGGTACAATGGTTCTTGTATAATATAACACATAATGAATGCAGTAAAAAAAATTTGTAATTACGTTTTTCCAAGTAAACTTATTTATATTATTTCAGCAGTCATTACTACTAACATTTCTAATATTTATTAATGTTGTCACTAATGGTGTAATAACTGAATTCTTAATGCTTCTGTCACTTTACTTGAAGGGGGTGTCAACAGAAGTGTAAACCTATACAGTCTCACGGTACAGTTTGATTACGATTATCATGCCATCGAATTGGTTCAATTCGATATCTCGGTGCATCAGGGTGCATTGATGATGCTTTCCATACACAATTTTATATTTTTCTTCACAGCACAATAATTCTTGTATTAAAATTTATAAAAAACATGTATATATTATTTGCAACGCAATTTGTCAACAGTCAGTGTATGAACTGTACCTTTAAAAACTCAAGCACATGCAGAGAACAAAATGAGCATGTATAACAAATAAACAAATGTAAATATCCTGTTCACTTTCTGAGCCTTGTCGAGCAAGTTTTTACACACATATGATCAGGTCATGCGCTCAACAGAAAGGGCTGTGATTGGCTCTAACGTTCTAGCGATGTTCACCAATGAGTGACACTGATCAGTAGTGATTACAGCTGATCCATGATATCTACGCGGTGACGAAAATTCGCAGGGCTTCTGCTGTAACTTCAGTGTCAGCAAAAGACTGTCTAGCTAACTCACAAGCAGTGAATTGTGCAGTTTCTGCATTAGGTAGTTGGAGTGTTTTAATTACTCACTCTCGCCTCCCTCACCATAGTAATCTACCACAATACAGCACAAATGAGATGAATGACATCAGTACGTAATAACCGGTTATGATCTATTACTGAATCGATACCAAATAGGTGTCATAACACATTTATAATTATGACATGAAAACTCATGAATATGAATAAGATTTTATGCATGCTTATGACAACACTGTCATTAGGTATCATTCACTCATTTATATCGTTTTAATGCAAAGGTGACATTGTTTAAGATTTTGACTTGAAATTACCAAGACAACATAGCTTGTCATAAATCTTTCATAAACATGACTGTCATAAGCCCAATGTTATTATGTGATTTTGTTTGTGGAACAAACTGAATTTGTAATTATAAGTTTGATTAAAAGTGTTAATGCTACGTCAAATAATTTTATAACAGGAACAATAATATTTAATGACATTTTAATGACCACTGTAGTTGTAATGACACTGTTATACAGTTCATGACAATTATAATGGCCTCATGACAAGTTATGTTGTTTTGATTGGTAATGTCAAGTTGTCGTGACAAAGGTACATCATAAGCTGAGAGGTTATGATTTATTTGATAATGTCAAGTTGCCATGACAAAGACATCTCAAACAATGTCACCTTTGCATTTAAAATGACGGAATTGAGCGAATGTGACTTAATGGCAGTTGTCATGTAGAAAAATCTCATCTCATATATTTACGAAACATGTCATATCCTGTTTATAAAGGTTTTATGACAGTCCTTTGAATGCCCTTTTCAAATAAATTACAACAATTTCAAAAGACTTTTGTGAAAATAAATGTTAATATATAGGTAATGTTCCATTATAAATAAACAACAGTTATTCTGCCCTTTACTTATTGTAGATTCAGTATTGTAAATCTCAACCATTAGGGCTGGGCCAATAAACGATACAATACCGAATCGTGATAAAATTTATGTTAATAACAACGATTAGCTCTAAACTTTTCTGGACAACAGGAATCTAAAAGTGTCTCGATAGTAGAGATTTAACACATTTTCAGCCACCGAAAATTTATTGGCAGAAAAGATGTTATGCCGTTAATTGGCCCCCCAAATTTTTGTGTGCTTCAGTTATTGTTGGGGTCCTCTTTTAAATATGGAAGCATTAACAATTTATATTAAAAATGAAATATACATCCTTATAATTCAATATGAAAAATAATTATCGAGATTTAATTTTAGCTATATCACCCAGTCAACAATACTATTTCACCGCACAAGTACTAAAGTGAACCAAATCAGGAGACTAAAACTGTGAGAAATATGCAGAACCATTGTCATTACAGCGGACCAGACATCATCTGAAAGGTCTTTGATGGCTTTCAGCTTTATGGCCAATGGCTCCTCTGTGATTTACAGTAATGGCCAACAGTCACGGGACACGGCTTAAGAGCTTAGGAATTGAAACTGACCTACTGACTAGTTCTTTTGCAAAGTGTTGAAGTGATGAATTCATCTTATGAGGAACCAGTGACGCTCATGACACACAAAAGCAGAAGTTGCTGTGTCTTTCATATATTTAGAAAATGATAACAAGTCTTCGATAGGTTTCACGATCACAGTTTGATGCCAAAAATAAATACAAGCCTTAAAACTCTAATCCTTCTCATCCTCATAAACCTTAAAGATTTGAAGGAGGGGTCTCTAGGACACTCTCTCTCTCTCTCTGTGCCCCATGACCAGCAAAAACAAAGAGGCTCATGCATATTTTGTTCCAGGTGTTTCTTCTACAGCCATTTTCATATATCAAGCATGCTCAAAAACACCACAATGCAGTGCAAACTCTAATCAATCCATCCACTTGCGTAAACAATAAAACATCAGTCAAGATATAATCACACTCGCATTTTTGAGACCCCACAGAAAGTCGCAGCGAGGGGAAAAATGCAGCAGATGTGTCACATGTTACGTGAGAGATTTAGGATTATATATAGACATAATCTCTCGGTCCAACAACCACGCCATCCGCAGAGGCTGGCTGTGCCCTCTCTACCATCAGCACAGAGAAATTATAATCCTCACCATGGCAACCATGAAGAAAAGCCAGCAAATATTCATCATTCGCCTTAAAAACGTAAGGGGGAGAGAAAATACTTACATAAAACTAATAAACATGAGTCACGGATAAGCAGAAAGCTGTCTCTTTTGACAGAGATAATGAGGGCATCGCAATCGCATCATTTAAATAACAATTGCTGGGGAGGAAAGGAAGACCAAGCGTAACTTTAGAGACAGGTTAAGGATAAAATCAAGTCAAATATGGATGTAATTGCTGAGAATTATACCATTATTATAGTCAGGCACATCGCAGACTGAAAAGCCTTCAGGCACATTTCATTGTTATGTGATGCAATTACAGACACTCTTGCACTGACTCAACACTTTTCTTCAGACAACTAATAGGAAGTCACTCCTTTATTGAGAAACTCCATGGTAACGTCAAAGAGAGACTCAAAAATTGTCCGGAAGTGCGTTGTAAATGTTTATTTCATCAGAAAAATCAGCATGAGTCCTACGCAGCGGAAATCCTTGCACCCATATACGAAAACTGCAGCAACCCAGAAATGAGGAACTCCTTTACTTCTCTCATCTCTGACCGACTTCAGATTCATCATTCCAATGCACCGGAGTAAGAGATCAATGGTTCCCTTTTCCAGTGTAAATGACCAGATAGTACCAGTACACACGGCACAGAAGGCACGACGCAACAGAGTGACGCCTCAGAATAAGAAACCAGCCTCACACAATGGACATAAATCTGAGCATCGTGAGACTGTGTCCTGTGATGTGATTTAGGAGGACCAGAACACAATGTACTGCTCCATTATAAAAAGAAGGACAAACATTTTATTATATTATTACATGACATAAATCTAGAAAAATGCTGCATAGAAGATGTTAAAATGTATTGTTCAAACATGTAAACATGCATGATTTTTTTAAGCACTAAACAACACATGAAGAGGTCAGACGCAAAAACCATCTGAAATTTTCCCCTAAAATTTATAATTTTAAGCAATTTTCGTTTACGTCAATTAATATGTTTTTTTCATTGTCTTTAATGTGAAATTAGTGAACATAAATATAGGAGTCTCAAAAAAGGCTCATTTTAGAATAAAAGTTCAGACGGCACTTGGAGGTTTTTGCATCTGAACTCTTCATATACATCCATTGTTTTTTTGATTGCTTAATATTTTTATTAAATCATCATCAAATGATCCAAGAGTATGTGTTGTGCATTAGTAATAAATAACATAAAATAATATAGATACCTACATTATATGATTAAATTAATTGATTGTATGATTAAATGTTTTTATAACATGATCATTATTGTCATACATTTAAGATAAGCATGCAAATTATATGAAAATACATCTTAAAAGATATTTCATATAATTG